GGCAATACATAAATTTTAGTGATAAAATCCAGTGTCACGGCTTGAAAGATCAGTTGTGAAGGGTTTGTGCCCTGCGAGCAGAGGTTTCTCTCTTGCATGGTTGTTCGCGTCGCTTTTCAGTCGCGTAGTAGTAATGTTATTTTTTCCTCCTCGGGAGAAATAAAACACTGCAACTAAGCGACTGACAAGCAACGCGAACGACTTCGTAGACGCTAAAAGCCATGCAAGAGAGAAACCTCTGCTCTCAGGGTAGAAACGTTTCACCGTCTTCTGGACTATTGTACTGTATTAAACAACAAATTAAAATTAAAATAAAAAAGAAGTTCTTTTCAAACAATGCTAACGTACAGTTGGCGCGCAGTACATTGTATACAGTGTACACAGTGTACACTGTATACAGTGTACTCCCCGCAAACTGTACGTTAGCATTGTTTTAAAAGGGGAACTTTTTTCTTTTATTTCAATTTTACTTTTTTTAAAATTTGCATTTGTTGTTTAATTCAGTATAATTTAGGAAAGACCCACCTCATCTCTTGTGGAAACATATAGAGACGGCCAATTTTTAGGGAGGGAGGGGATTATTTTATTTACCAAAACACAGTGCTAGTAGCAAAGACGAAGGGAGAAGCACATGGGAGAATATGACACTTTTAAATTCTTTTCTTTATTATTTTGTACGAGGACGGGATGACTGTCTATAGTTAGATGGAGATTTTAGTGCGGATACTATACAAGATTAGTGCATGGGAAATGGTACTCATTTTTGGGAGTTAATATCATTGATTACATACATCACTTTGTAACTATTTAATTGTGATAGTAGAGCTGGCAGGGGAGGAACGGGGCGAGGTGATTAAAAAAGTGAGGCTTGATAGAGCATTAATGTATCTCACTTATTTTTTTTCACTATTTTTGTTTGCAGCTGTAAGGAGCGCTTTCGAGAAGAATGTCACTGTCGAATATAGAAATAAAATTCATCGCTTCACATCTCGCTGGCGGCAATTATACACAGGGAGGGATGCAAACAACAGGCCGTTACCCTTCCATTAAAGCGAAATAAAACTCAATATTGGTCTATGAGTAAAATTCTGTCAGTAAACTTTTTCCGTCATTGTTTTGGTACACTTGTTATGCAGTGACGCTCCCCTGATCACCAAATTAGCACTCTCTTGCTCAAGAGATTAGACGTAGTCGTCAATGACTTATCTGTGCTTTGCCCCGAAAGCGAATGAAATTTTCGTAGGAGATTTGCAGAGGAAATAATATTCGCCCGCGAATTTGGTTTTTCCAATTAAGCGCTGGGAAAAAACTTTTAAGCAGATGCGGTGTTGTGTTCTTCGACAGGAAGTACTATTTTCCTAAAGAGTAATGAACTACAGTACTAACCTCGATAACTCGAACTCGGATAACTCGAATTCCTCGCTAACTACTTGAACTGTTTATCGTTTCCATTCATAGTTCGAGTTACTGGAGTTCTACTGTACAAATAGAGTAAATTTTCACGGTGTCCGTTTTTTTTCGAAATGTTTTTTATTTTTATTTTTGTTATTTTTCTTTTTTTTTTCCGGATCGATGGAAAACCCGCGAAATCTGCCAAAAACGTATCAGGAGAAATACAGCTGTATTTATGACAAGTTATATAATTTTAATTAAATTGAGTGAAGTGCAATTTGGTCGAAATATTACGTGGCCGCGTGATTTAAAAATTGGACGAGCGCGTAGCGCAAGGTCGATTACAAACAAGTATGATTGCAAACAGAAACTTCGGGTGTCACGAAGCTCAATTACCACTTTATGACAGCCATCTTGGAATCGTAAATTCAGTCAGCACCAATATTTTATTGATTATTTTACATATTTTTTTGTATGCAAAACCGAAGTGATGCCATTTAAGGCCTGTTTATAAGGAGGTGGGGCACCCCACCTGTCAATATGATCTCTCGTTTTAATTTGATCACATTTACATAATAGGTGGGGTGACCCGCCGCGGTTTACATCACCTCCATGTAAACAGGCCCTAAGAGCAAAAAGGATGGGAATTAAAACACGGGATTTAGAGCGATAAATAGTGTTACTCGTGAATATATCACACTGTTGAGAGCCAATCGGATTGCAAGGATCATCAGTGATTTAAAAATTTCAAATGAATGTAACAAAAGGGTAAATCAGTGGCTGGTCGTGGTTTGTTTCTGAACTGCATGATTTGGGCCGTCTCATATATTGGCTACCGATGTCTGGATAGTTACGGCAAGAAACCTCCTTGCTCATATACCATTAATCCTCTATAAAGCCACCCGCCCTCTAAAATAAGTCACCCCTCTCTAATAAGCTCCTCCACCCCCCTTTAAGGCCGGGGAGAAAGTTAATAAGCCCCCCTCCCTCTATTTTAAGCCTCCTCCACTCGATCCCCTTATTATTGTTCACAAATAAAATAATAGACTGTATTAATCAATTACCACTGTAAAACTTCGTTTGCACTGATCCAAGATGGTTAATTCACCAGCTGGAAATTCAAATTTGTTTTTGATCCTCGACTACATGACCTCCAACTTTATGAGCATTTTCACTTTGCATTCTGGTTCTTTATAAAGAACTGATACTTTCGTCATTGCTAAATTAAATAGTAGCCCCCCTCTCACAAAAATTCCCGTCTCTAATAAGCCCCCACCCTAAAATGTGTTCGAAATAAACAACCCCCAGGGGTGCTTAATAAAGGATTTACGATAAGTTCCTCAACCATAGCTTTAACTAATCCCAGGGAAAACATTAGGGGAGAAGACAGATTACATTTCATAAGCCTTTTCAGTTCTGTAGTTGCGTGCTATACATTTACGCAAATAATGATCTTTAACGGACAAAGTTTTGGTAACTAGTGCTTAGTCTAAATTTATTTTTGTCTTTAGGCTTCAGTCTTTTTTCTGTCGATGTTTATTGAATTAGCCGAAAGTGGCGGCTTATCCATTGCATTTATAGTATACATTGACTACCAGTTATCAAGGTTGCTCATTGCTCAATGAACGCATTCGTTATTATTGTTTTGACTTGAAATGTCTTAGCTTAGTATATATTTATAGCTTACAGGAAAGACAATAATAATAAAACAAAAGATTTCTTTTGTGCAACAGCCAACAAAGGTATAAACGACGTCTTCTTTTGCAGTTGTGGTCAGAAAAAAAGAGTTTCCTGACGAAATTTCCCTATTGATCTTGAATTGATTGTGCTCATGCTACAAAGGCCAAGTGCAATGGGTAGCAGCTGGACATAGATGCTGGCACAGGTTCTCTCAGTCATGCTACTTTTCTCTGTACTGGCAGTAATGTTAGCCCCCTTTAAAAAATATAATAAGACTTAGTTTTAGACTCCTTTATTCGTGGCATTTCTTTTAGCCGTTGATACTATCATTTATGGCAGCGCTTACTGATCCTGCCTTTTACTATTGTCTTTGTTACTGCTGCTACACTTCATTTGTATGTGCAGAAAACCCATGTGTCTAGTGCGAAGTAGTATATTTGAGTGAAACTTTGTGAAACGCTGAATTACACTCTTTAAAATACCCCTTAAATTTTAAACTAAAAAGGAAAAATTAGAAAAGACTTCATCTCTTGGCTAAAACACTTCCTTTGGTCAGGTGAATTTTAATCCATTGTTCAACAATTTGTATTCGAAAGAAAGAAAAGACGTCTTCCTTTGAAATTAAAATTAAATTAAGAAGAAAAACTACCCTCAAAGGAATCAACACACTTTTAACAGAGAAAGAAGTAGTCGGGAAATGAATCTAAAATTAGCACATCCTGGTATAAAAGATTTAATAATATACAGCAGAACTAAAGCTTGTTCGAAGCTTGTTAGGGGACTTTTTTCTCTCATTGGAGGGCAGTAAAAGCGGGAATGAAGACAGTCTAGTTAGTAAAAAGAAATGAAAGGTAAGCAGCATTAATTTAAAAAAATCAAACATCAAACAAAAAATAAAGCTAAACAACAAAAACCCAAAAGCAGATTATTAACAGACGGAATGAATTCCAATTTTTTGAAAATAAGAAATCGCATAATTATTTGATGAAGATGTTTACTTTCTTTTTTAAGAAAGAAATTAATAAAAAAATAAATGTTATGTCTTATAACTAAGGCAATTATTAATTCAAATCAACTTGAATATCGCAAGCGCAATTTTTTTGGACGTTTCGAAGTTCAAATCACAGTCGTCCAGACAATAGTTGAGTAAGTAATGTATAATTCAAGACATCAAACCAGTCATCAAAATTGATACGTTTACGCAAAAAAATGCTGCTTTTCGTGTCAGTCGTCACAGCTCAGCTGTTTCCCTAACCATTCGCCTTTACGTTCAAATTTTTGTTTCAAAACACATTGCTCTAACCCAGGCTCTCTTCTTAACAGCATAATCAAAAATCTGCTGAAGGTTTCTTGAGAGCGATATCATCGTCTTCTGTTTATCATGGGGATGTTATCCCTGTTTTGCACTGCCACTCTTGCCTTCATGGTTCCTTTCATTTCACGAGAAAACTTCATCACATCGGGTAAGAAAATCTAGATTGCATCATTACTGTAGCTTAACCAACGTGAGCGCTTCTTCATGAAGTAACCGCCACCCGATTAGCACATCTCGATAAGCGCCGGTTTCACATCGAATAAGAAAATCTACTTTGCATCGTTACTGTAGCTTAACCAAAGCGCACTGCTGTTGACGAAGAAACTGCCGCCCTATTAGCTCATTTGGACAAGCGCCGGTCTGCCGAGCAGGAGGCCGCTGGTTTAAATCCCGGCCGGACCAACACTCAGGTTTAAATAACTGCGGTGAGAAGGTGTCTGTACACAGGCTATTAAAAGCTAATAAAAGAAACAGAGACATTCATGCTTACAATATTTTGGTTCGTTCATTTTTATTATAAATTATTTTCAAATATACCTTATTTTTGCCCCGCACAGGGCCTTGTCAACCATTCAAGTCAAATCAGAGCTTTCTCTGTTCAAAGTTTCAAGCCATGGTGCAAGGTCAATCGCGAGTTAAGAAGGTTTGCAACCACTGGCGCGCGTCTTGTCACGTAAACATTACTCTCCGTAAAGAAAGAGAGGATAGACTATGGGGATACTGCTATTGTGATTCACTTTGTAAAACGCTCGGTGATTGTTGCGTGGATTTTGACGAGTGGTAGGTTTCTGTCTTTTTCCGCAAATCCAATATCCTTAATAACTTACAAAAAACCGAATTACAGGATAATTTGATTGCAAGGCATTTTTTCCTTAAAATTAATTATTGTAGTCTAGTCGCCTCGATTTATTAGCTTAGTAACTAAAATATAAATCTTTGATCAATCTAACGGTGGAACATCCAAATTGGCCTGTGTCTCCTGTGCCAATCAGGTGGATGGTTAGTTTACGACGAACCATATATGGTGGAGAAGCGTTAAATTCTAGGAGTTCAGCGAGCCATTGTGGATTGTATGGAATTCGATTCTGTACCTCATTTGGGAGTCAACAAATCGTCAAGTGTCGGGTTTTCGAAAAAATGCTTGTACGTTTGTAGTAGGATTAGTAAATTCAATATTCACCGCACATGAAAAGCCTCTGGCACTTAGAGTAGAATATGTTTGAATTGTTACCTAATGGACCGTTTAATTTTTAATTGAATCCTCTCCCTCTACCTACTATAATTCCTGCTGTATGTTTTATTGCTGACTGGTGTTTCTTCTTAGTGATGTCTTATTTCTTTCAGGTTTGTTCCTGGTCAAGCAAGTGCTAGACATCCATCGATGTTTTTATCTTGTCGAAGACTGCCATCAAATGAAAAGAACGAAGTACGTGGTTTCGTTATGATCGCTAGATGTCCGTTGTCCTGGAAAGGTACTGAAACTGCGCAGGCGTGTATGTCTACTAATTATTCGTCTGATCTTCTTTTCGCTTTGCCAGTGGTAGACATAATGACGAATGTGACGTATGCCAACATCTACTGCGCCATGTGCCATAACAAGACTTACGACATTTTCTTTTGGAGTCTCTTTATCGTAAATAAACAAAGCAGTTTACCATCTTTGCAAGAGTTTAATCCTGATTCAACAATCTGGGAAGCCAGGCCAGTCGGAGATGTAAAAAAATGTATCGCAACGCCAGCAGAAACCTTTAGAAGACCTGAAACCGAGGAGAGACACGTTTGCAATTTATACGCCAATAGTATTTCCGTACATAGGCCAACACAACCTCCAAAACTCTTTAAAAATGCACACTGTGCAATTCTAGAAAAGTTCAATTTATCTGATGGGACATTAAACTGCGGAATTAATCTCCATGGGCGTTTTCCTCCGACACTGAAGTCGGCGTTGTTCGTGTTTTCCACTAACGCAAAACCAGAGGCTGTATGGAAAAAGGGAAACAATGTTTTCTTCGTTAACTACAGTTGTCAGATAGGAGAATTTTATGATCCTTTTAAACGAAGATGTCTTCCAGTCCACTACGATACCAACTTAACAAAAACAACAAAACACAAACAGTGTTATGGTCTTCCGTTTCGACCAGCCGAGTTCACTGTTTTGAATAACAATTCTGTTTTCATTTTTTCTCTCAAAAAGATTTACGACAACGACAGCTACATTTTGGCAAACAGGTCTTTAGTCCTTTGCTTAAACATTCCACGTCTCTACATGTTCACTAAACCTCCAAAAACAACAATACACATCAAGAACAGCAAAAAACAAGCAAACAACAATAAGCCTCAAGATGAAGGATTCGCGCTTCGTATCATCACTTATGTGGGTTTTTCGCTGTCATTTCTCTCTCTTCTGTTTTTGTTACTGACGTATTTCATGTTTGCAGAGCTTCGGACCTATCCCAGTAAAATGGTGATGCATCTATCTGTGGCCATGATAGCCATGAAATCCGTTTACTTTGCTGCAGACCCAGATGTTGTCTCTTCTACAGTTTGTGCTGTGATGGGTTCGCTGTTGCATTACTTTATCTTGGTAGTATTTCTGTGGATGAGCGTTATCGCCCACAACGCTCAGCAAACGTTTTCAAACTTGAGTGAGTAGGACTTAATATGTACATGTTTAATTAAATCAATTTAATACCCACTGGGGCTCTTTTTTAGACCAAAAACTGAATTTTTTAAAGGGAAATGAACCAAAACCAATCGTTATTCAATACAACACATTGTGATTCACGAGTATAATTAACATCTTTTAAAGTCTTGAAAATCGTTAAGTGAAGATGTCAGATAATTGGAATGAAAAAAAAGATTGAAAATTTACGAATTTCGTATATTTCTTCCCTTGCAAAATTCCCGGTTACAGTTGTCATTGCAAGAATCACTTGTGGATGAGTTTATGGTCAGAGCGGAAAAAAAGTGGGGATCATGCGTCTCGAGGGCGGGATCTTTTTAGGGTTGATTTGGGGATCATCCCAGGTCTTGGGATCATTTTGGGGCCGGGATCATTTCAGTGCAATACCAATAATTCAGCACTCAGGACTACACACTACCAACTCTGCGATATGGTCAGTACCTTACACATGCGCACAGCCATATCACTGCTGATGAGTGCTAGTGAGGACGAAGCCGCTGTCCGTGGCTGTCACTGCCCGGGTGCGCATGAGTAAGGTACTGGCCATACTGCGGAGTTGGTAGTGTGTGTTTAATTTTAGTGCTGAAATTGGTAGTACAGAACCTCAGTCACGGCGCAAATGAGTGTGTGAGGAAATGCACCTGTTACTAGGGAGCATGAAAGCCATGTTACTTAACGTTGCCTTTCTAATTTTATTTCATAAAGCTTTGGACAACAGAAACCCTTTGGTGATAGCTGGAAAGAGGAGGGCATACATCCGTTACAGCATATTCTGTTGGGTGATGCCAGTCATTATCGTTACAGTATGTGTGCTTCTGCAGCTGACAACTACTGGGAATGCTACATACGGTGAAAATAACTTTTTGTCATCTCTCTTAACCAATATAATTTGGCCGTTCATGACTTCATTGAAATCTCCACGAGATGGTGAATAAATCCGAAAAATGCACAAACACATTTTTTAGCCTCTGTTGGGACGACTTTAATACTCAGGGGGAATTTGAAACATTACTTATACAAACTATTGGGGGAAAACATCGGTTTATTTTGGGCAATGAGAAAGCGGTGAATGCTTGCGAAATACTTGTACAAGCAAGAAGGCTAAAAGTTTATCATTAAAGGCAGTTGGCAAGAGGATATGATGGTTTTTAATAATTCGTTTGGGTTTTGGTCAGGTTCCTGTTCTGTGGAGCACAAATTTCCAACTATCCAACTCTCTTCTAGCATGCACTAGACAGTTTTATAAACTCTCATTTGGGTGCAGCGTGCGCTGCGTCGTTTGCCCATCACTTTCAAAACTAACGAACCAGGTGTTACAAGCACCAAATACACTAACAACTGATAGGGTCTGGCGTGCCAATGCAACCATAAAGGGGAAAGTGCCTTGCGTAATGCGATTGACTGTCCTTTTGGAAAGGTCACTTTGTTCTTCAGAAGCTGTTGATTTATTTTAATGACTTTAATTAACGTCATAATAAAGGTGACGACGTGATTTAACCTGTACAAGGAAGCTGCATCACCTGGACGATTGGTAATAGTTGACGAAAATCAATATTAAGAAAGTAATTTTTAATCCTGCAGGAAACGAAGATGGCTGTCAACTGTCTCTTCCTGCTCGAACCTACGCAATTACGATTCCCGTTTCGGCCTCAATTCTTTTCAACATCGTTGCTCTGATCCGCACCGCCATTGCTTTGAAATAGGGAGGACAGGTAACCAATTTACAAGTTCATATTAAGTAACATCCATTGATGAACCTTTAATGTCGAGATGCCACAACCATTTAATGATTGGACGAAAATGAAAAAACTCTGATGAAAATTGAAGGGCAATTGCATGGAAGTGAGACTCACCAATGGAGCAGCGGTTCCCTAACATCTCAATGCCCTGAAGGGTGCCTACAAACATTCACCCCGCTTGATTTTAAGTATCTCTTAATTCTCAGAGCCTAACACAGTTTGCATTGAAACCTTTTTGTCTTTTCTCAGTTCAGTGCAATTGCTCAACAATTCATTTAGTTGTTGGTACATGAATGTGATCAAAAGCCAATATTTAAATTATATTGGTCATGTTTGCCGTTGTCCAAGCACTACGCTGGCAAAGAAGACACTGTTTGCGAAGTCGAAGCGTCAATGCCAACGAGACCCTTGGATAAATATAGCTAAATTAATTAATGTCTCTATCGAGCAAGCAAAGAGGTAGAGCAAGATTAGAATGGCTTCGCTGTATTGTTTGACCGCCAATGCAAGTCCGTGGTAACATGATTACTGATTGGAGGATTAAACTGTACTGTACTGCACAGGTGCAGTTATTAAATATATGTTCCTAATTACTAAATGAAGCTCGCAACCTGCGACCGTTGTTGAATTGATGTTACTGACCAGAAGAGCTTTTTGCAGCAAAGTCCGCACGAGCTGAGTCGAAGTTCCTTCCGACAGCAATAGAGAGATTAAGATTTACGTTTACGGCATACGGCAAACGGCAAACGTCAGTTGAGAATTTCTCAGAATAGAAAATAAGCAGATAAAAACAGTCCAGAACTATTCTTGTGGACAAAACTGGCATTAAACTAGTTATTTTTGTGTAGAAACAATAAACAGTAAACGCAAAATAAGGAGAAGACTTGGTCACGGGGTACAAATTCACCTTTGCCGTTTGGCGTAAACGTGAATCTTAATCTCTCTAATAATTTATTTTTCCTTTGATTTTTAAGACATTCCTCAATGGCTTGTTGCCACAGTATTCAACAATGTCCTTACGTTTTATAAAATCTGACATTACGCTGATCGGTTATAGGGCAATGAGATGACAGCAAATCAGAAAAATCTTCCTTTGATTGTTCTGAAATTAACAGCTGTTGTGGGAGTCACGTGGATCTTGGGATTTGTCCTGGCTTTCTATCCAACCCCATATTTGGAATATCCGTTTGTAATAATCAACAGCTCTCAAGGTTAGTGACTCAAATGTTTGTGAGCGAAGAGATGACTGACGAAATTGCATTTGCCAAGTTACAACGCAATTAGATGGAAATATGAGTCAGTTTGCAAACTAAGGCCGGGCCACCAATCAGGGTCTTAAATAACGGTACGATCATGTTTACTATGATTAGGATATAGGGGAGGAAGGGTGGTTCAGTGAGAGAGCACTCGCCTCCTAACAATGTGGCCCGGGTTCAAGTCCCGGCATCGACACCATATGTGGGTCGAGTTTGTTGTTGGTTCTCTCCATTACTCCGAGAGATTTTCTCCACTAGGTACTCCGTTTTTCCCCCCTGCTCAAAAACCAACAGTTCCAAATTCCAATTCGACCAGGAATCAGGTAAACGATGAACCACCAAGTGGACGCACTACCTCTAAATCATTATTATTTATGTATTTAATTGTATTTTAGTCTCAGTTCGGGTGAAAGCGACATTAGGCTGATTTACCGACAGAACGGGAACGTCTTTTGACGACTGGAAAGCACGCGGAAAGGACTAAATGCGACATCAAGTGCCTAATTTGCCGCTCTGCCATTGGTTAAGCCAGTTGTTTGATTTGCGCGCGCCGTCGTCAACTGACGTTTCCGTTCTGTTGCTAAATCAGCCTATTGAGGGTGTTGGTACGCCTCTGGTCTTGTCTCTCTTATCCTCCTCTATGTATCGGAAGAGGGTTTGAAAAAACAAACAAACAAAAAGGAGACGTAGTCCTTGGTTGTGCAATCTACCTTTCATAGGCTGAATGGATTTAACGGACCACTACACAGTAAAACTGGTGTCTGTGTTTGACACAGGTTTAATTGTTTTCATTCAGGTTTGCTGATCTGCATGTCATTTGTAATGAGGAAGCGGGTGTTTATGTTGTACAAACAAAAGTTCATTGTTGGACCGCAAGACTTGCCAGAAGCAAAAAAAGATGAGCCACACCCAGGATGAGCGATAATCGGAGACACAGAGGAGGAGGAGGAGGATTAGCGAGGATGGGATAAATTTAGGAAGCTTTTACTTTCAAACGGCTCAGAGAAATTTAAAGCTACTTAAGTTTCTTTATAAATTATATTGACAACAGAGGAGTTATTAATACATGCAGTTAACGAGTTTTATTGAGTTCTCATTTAACGCGGCGTTCAGAAGACAGTGCTGTTGCCTGGTGATGCCAAGGTAGTGGTTGTGACGTGGAGTCTGACATCGTTAGAAAGTGCTACTTGAAACTGAATAATATCGCAAACAATTTTTAAAAGTTGACCATTATCGGTGGCACGGACATGAGGGATGGAGGTTTTGGATCAGAAGCAGCAAAATTTATCTTTATTCCAGTAGCTTGATAGTTCTTCCGACTGGAGTTTGGTGGAGGTTAACAATTACTAGCACTCTGCTAGCAATTGCCCTTAACAACTTTTTCATTTTCTTCAGTTTTTTTATGGCATTTATTCTTGTCAAGGAAAAATTCAGTGTCCTGTTTTATTTCCCACTCACATTGTCAAAAAAACTGGCTAGTGTGAATGAGTTTAACTTGTACCATTTTATTTATTATGAGGACGCTTGTCTGAGGGTCCAGTGCAAGCTCTTTGTCTAGGCTAGATTCTTTCTCCAACTCTTCAAGAAAAGGTCATCTTAAAAAGGTAGAGGCAGGTAGCATTAGGACAAAACTGCATAAAACTACAATAAGAATCATTCCATTTTACATCAGCAAATTTAACTAAATTAAAGCAGGTTAACCGCTCTGGATTGGTATTTTATGTCGAGCGTCGAGTAATTAAGCATTCTGGTGAAGACAACTTCGTGAACAGTTTGAAGTTTAAGGAAAATGAATTTCGAGTGCCTAACGCCTGATACGAATACCATTAAAAGACTTTAAAAGTGAAGAATTTGCAACTAAAAATTTAAAAATCCTATTTAATTAACAAGCGAATGAATGAATGAAATAAGATTACTCGCTTGATCTATTATTCAGTTAGTTAGCAATTCAAAATCAGCACGGGAAAACTGTGAAGTAATGCTATGAGAACACTACCAGCCATCAGATTTTTGCGAATTCTCTCAAGGACAAAGAAAGAGTTCGTAAAACTACTGGCCCGCGGACGTTTTTTAATAAGCTATTAGACAATTCCACATTTTAACCGAAGTCTACAAGACATAAATTATGTGCGTGCAATCGAAAGTAAAAAACGGGACATAAAATCATTTCTCAATCAATATCCTTGAGTTCTAATTCTGCTGGATCCACAACCTGCAAGACACATGAGGTAAAATGTGTAATAAATAGCTAACAATAACAACAACAACAACAACAACAACAACAAATTGGGTAATGCTGTCCCAAATATTTGTTGGATTCTTGGTATTCTACCCTGCTTGTATCATTAAGCCACTTTGTCGGCACCCGTAATAAAACCCGCCGTCACCAGTTGCACAATTTACTATTTCTCTCCGCCCTCCCGACCATAATATTTTAACGTGCCATCCTTTCCCAAGTATCTCATTCTGCGATACACGTATTTCTAGTATGAATGTTTGTTTCTTATGTTGGTTTTACTTCAGATATCGGCTGTTATGCAAAGATCGAAAACTGTGGAATGGGTTCGAGTTTAGGAAATCTAGAGTTGGTCAGTCACACCCAATATATTAGTCTAAAAGCGACAACAGTCCAGTTTCGAATTCGTCGCGGCCACTGAATAGAAGCACCGACGACTCTTTTATTCAGTCAGGGTGAGCCTCGACCTAAAGTAAAATATTCACAAATACCGGCGGATGGTGCCTAAATTTGAGTTAAAAACAATAGACAAAGTGGTACGTTGGTCTTCTTCTGACTGGAGTTTATGTGTAAATCAGTCTTCATTGCTGCGCTTCTTATTTAGTGGCGGCGACGAATTCGAAACTGGACTAGCTGTCTATTAGTTTCCATGATTGGTTCGTTTTCATTAATCTCACATCGATCGCGACGTTTCGACCACGTACTGTTTGTGATCACGGTAAAAAATCTAATTTTTCAAAATAGGGGAAAACTGAATAACATGTCTTACCATTCTGATCAATCCCGCCGTGTCATCTTAAAGATACACGCAACACAAATTAAAACCCTTAAAAAAACCTTTAATTTTCAGTACTTTGCTTACCAATAAAACAATATTTTTTGTTTGATTTTCTGCATCAAATTTTGATCCTTTCAAGCCTGAATATAGGAGATTAAAGAAAAAGGTGTGTTACTGGTAAGTAATGTCTACTATATTTTTACTGTTTTATGCTTGACTCATGACAAGTAAATTTCAGTCAATGATAGATAAAAAAGTTTAGGGTTACTTAAGCAGCTTCCGAAAGTATAAAACGAACGATTCAGTTTTTGAATTCAGTTATTGACTAGGGGCCGCTTTTAGGTCACATCAGATACAATGCTTACCTGTAGTTTTTCTTTTTGGTTTGACAGATTTTACCTGTTAATTATTAAACAGGAGGTAAAAGATGAAGCTTTTAGAATATGTCAAGGAGAAAGCTGAAGTATTGTTAAGCTTCTTGAGTACATGGCAACACACAACAACTTATTCATATATATACAAAAACTCTTATTCCATATATACTATACAGCCAAAACATAGCTCTGTAATGCGGAAAACCGACCTGACTCTGTCTCTTTGGTATCCCTATATCATTAACGGGTTGTGGCTGTACGTGTTAATGTCAAATACGAAAACAACAACAACAAAAACCAAAAAAGCCTCGAAAGAAACGGGAAATACTCTGTAAACCTACCTCTCGAGAAAAGGCTATTTTTGTAGAATGTCTGTTTTTCAGTTTAGTTAAGGCCATGCGCACCTAAATGATAAAAGAACCACAGGTGATGAGCTGGGTACAAAGCTAACACTTTAAGAAATCAATTTTAAATAGAATCGCATAATTAAGTAAAATCTCGCATTCTGATTGGTTAACGAAGCGAGGTATTTAGGAAAACCGATATTGTTTCGCATCTACGTAACAACTATCGTCAAATCTCTTTGGTTTTCTACAATCCCTTCAAAACCATTCATTGTCATTTTTGAAGAGTTAAAACAAACAGGGTTGTGAGCCGGAGGTTCTTCCTTGTTTTGAACTGAACTAATGAAGAGACATAAAACCTCAAATCCTGTGAACACGGCCCAAAAATGGCAATCAAACCAAACAAAACGGAGAAACAACCCCAAAAAAGAAATAAATACTTCAAAGAGGACATGGCCCCTGAAAACACGAAAAAGAGTACGCCGGAATCGTCCTGAATCGTGGTACTGTGAAAACAGCATTTCTAAAACTTTCAAGGAACCTCTCGCGACGTTAAACATGCTTTCATTTTTGTTTCAGTTTTGCCGCCGAATGTCTGTTTTTTTCAGTTTTGAAAAAAGTTCTACATAAACGGCTTGTAAATTCAGCACCTATTTAAATTACATGAAAAAGTTTGAAAACAAATGAAAACAAGGCGATGAGTTGTCGAAGGTTCAAACAAATTCGCTAACATTTCTGAAGTTGACTTTGAATTTTAAATAAAAACAAACAATTCAACCCCAATTATGGATTAAAATAATAATATCAGGATCGAAATTTTGAAAATATTTCATCTATTTATCTTCGCCTTTTAAAAATAAAACAAAGTAATCTGGGACGAAGTGAAATATCATGAGCAGAGTTGATCTATTTTAGGTCATCGAGGCGTTTTACCTCAGAGTTTCCAACACAATGGCAAGTAAAGATAAAGAGGCCCTGGACACAAAAAAGAGAAAACAAAATAAAAAAAAAAACAACGTCAATGCCGTATATTTGTTCAGTGATAAGTTCTAAGCTATCGTATTTAGGCTTAAACTGAAACAATACAACTTTAATACACAGGTGCAAAAAATTTACTCGGCAAAAATAGAGACGGATAAACATTTTTCGGCCTATTCGAACGTATCAATGGATTGGCAGCTTGGACACGGTTGACGGTTAAATTTTAGAGCTTTTGACGGTTGACGTTTGTTAAGGGAAAATGTGGTCAAAGAATTTTAGTAAATATTGACTTCTGTATAAATTCATATTAACTGTTGTGTTTTAAAGGTTGTCCCTGCCTGCCACAAATAAAATTTGGAAGAATTTTCAGATATAAGCAAGTTCTAAGGTCTTGTAATGTCTAGAAGGAGTGCTTTTGAGAACATGGGAACTGGTTTTCCAGTTTGGAGCTGGATTCTTCAGGAGCCAGTAAACCATGACGATCAGCTGAAATAGGAAAAAAAAAGCAAGATTGAAATACCTGGAAATTTTTTTACGGTATCAATCTGCATTCTTGACGGTTGACGGTAAAAAATAAACTTTTTTGACGGCTGACGGTTAACGCCATTGAGACTCTCATTTATGGTTTGATCATTACGATGGGTACATCCTCCAATCCCCCCCCCCTAAAACTACTTGCACAACTCTGCAAACTTGGAGAGGGATGGACAAACTGTCTCATTTAGTTTTTTTGATGGGTATACATTGCCCAGTTACCAAATCTACTTCCACAATTGTACAAAACTTGAAAACTGAAAGACAGACTGTAGTTTTAATATGTACATGATTCACTGCTAAAAATGTTTGCACAGCTCCGCAAACTCTGAGACGAATAGAAAAACCGTCTCATGTATGGTTTTTGTGATGGGTACAAGTATGCTCCGCTTGCTAAACATAATCGCACAACTCTGCTAAAATTAGACACAGATAGACAAAACTGCAATTTTGCTGCAAACTTAGAGACGCTGCGCTCAGGTAAATTGTTTCATAAATAACCATTATGATTTGGGCACATGCACCACTTGCCGAACTTACTTGCAAGGAATTGACAATAGCAAACAAGTATTGGAACACGACGGTGTCAGAATTAACGCTTAAAAGCCCAAGTACCCATGTGGTCCCAAGTAAAGGCATCAACATCAGCGCTGCCTTAACACCAGATCTGAAGAACAGAATAAAATCAGATTGGCTAATACGGATCCAAAATATGCTTTGTAATCCTGTTGTTCTACGTTTTTGAGAGTCGTTGGTAAAATAAATTGGTAATGAACAGTAACTCCAGAACTGATGGATTGTCCTTAAACATGTATCACAAGAGGTGCTATAAGGTTAACGATCTTTGTTACTCAGATAAAATATTTGAAAAGAAAAACAAACAAAAATCTGTGGGAAAAGGGATTAAAGGCACCTAGGAAAGCTTGACAAAACCTGTCGCTGAGAACAGAAGAGGCGTTCACTAAATGGATTTTGCGTATCTGAGACCAGTTAATTTTAATCAACGGCAAAATTTTTGTACGGACCAACGGCACTTTTCCTATTTGCAGGACGATCCTGTGCCTTGAGAAGTAAGGGCTTGGAGTCCTGTGACCAAGTTTGTGTAAATTATTACTTTAAAAGGAAAATAATAATTATTTGATTTTGCTCATGAAGCCATAACGCTGTTATGGCACTTCTGATGTCAATAAACACTGGTCATAACAAATTTTATTATTTATGTAATGCAGCTGTTGAGACCATTTCCAGATTCGTCGTTAATAATGGCGACGCATCCAAGACTCAAACTTAAAATTCAGAAGCTATGAACAATTCTCACCTCGCTCTATTTTCTCGAGGATCAGATTCAGCCACGTTTGACAAAGACACCAAGGTTTTAATAATCAGTCCCAGTATTAACAAATTAAACTAAAAATTGGAAATAAATATCGTTAGAGTCAAATAACGGAAGATAGCATTAATGTCGATGAGAGGAATGTTGTCTGAAGTTGTCTCTCACCGCGATTATTCCCATGACTGGTCCAATAAACGACCAAATAAATCCTTTTTTTAAGGACAACCAGCACCTGAAACCATAACCAAAACCACATCTTTCGTTACAGCTTAAATTAAGACTTGCAATATAATAATGTAATCAATCCCTTTCTTTGCCTCAAATTCTGAATTTGCCGTATTCTCGAAAGCCGGCAAAGCAAATTCCGGGGAATATTTCCTATACGATCCTATACCTTTTCAGGTCTCCGGTACATGAACGGGTAGGAATTCTGCTAGTTGAAGTATATGAAAGGATAGGGAAATCTGTCACTTCAATGTGTAAAAGAATCTAAAAGAGCTCTAAAAACAGACGCATTTTATGGCTGTGAAAAAGTCATGAAAACGTCCTGATTTAGTGATTTATTAATATTAAAAAGACAACGCTTTTACAGCGGTAAAAAGGAATGAAGCGTTCTAAGCTAAGTAGTTGTCAATAGAAAGCATTACGAAAGGGGTAGGTACCTTTTTTGTCAAAAATGGTTTATAAAAGGGTAAGGGGTTGCACATCTGGGCGGAGTCTTCCCTCATAGAAATTTGTTCAGTACCCCTCACCCAGAAGGAGGTGGGGGGTGGGGTAATTCGTAGACCAGCGTGCACAGGTAACCCTATAGATAGTGAGCCTAACACAGTTAATTGCAAATTAGAACAAAAGATGTAAGGAGAGAAATACAGTCCTACACGTCTGTTGCACCGTATCCTTTGATCCTGGTAGTGGCAGATATTCCTACAACAACAACGGGAAATCCTGGAAATAAAAAGAAAAGCGATCATGCACCAAAGTTTTCTGATTACCTAACTTTCGCGTTTTGCCCCTTTTTTTAACGACAAAAGTTACTTTTCAGTTGAAGTTTATAGGCTTATATTTGGGCTCGTGATATTTTTAAAAGTACCATATGCTGATCTCATTATAGACTAGAAGGTTCAATACAAACGTCTTTTATAATACTTACCCCAGCCTAAGATCACATAGTAGATCATTTTTATTCTGTGCAGATTAAACGCAGTAACGATCTTAAAATAAAGGTGCAACCCTTCTGCGCACATCCAAGTAAAGCTTGCGGTGTACAGGTAGTGAAGAAGAACAGCCACTGTGGTGCATATCCACTGGAAAAAAAAAAATGTAAATTCCAAGGTGGCGGCCGATATGGCAGCCATTTTCATTAAAAATTACACGTCCTCATTAATGCTATCTCCCATGGTATCAACGTTACCTTGTACAGCTTGTCATAGGCAAGCTGTTGAACTTTCCAAATCAAGAGAGGACCTCTGTGTCATTACTCTCTCTTGCAAAAAATCGAAAGTGGATCAGTCCATCTAACTCGCAACATTAACCACAGCCGCCGGGGTACGAATTTGCTTGTATGACCGAGGGTTTATACTATTTGTCCCTTGTGGATTGATTGTTCGTGTAACAACTTTATTTATTTATTTATTAATTGATTTAATCAGTTAGCTGTGATAAAGTTTATATACTAGTTTATTTGGCACCATATAAAAGGCTCAATTTACCCGTGAACTTGAAGCTTCAATCCCCGAAAGAAACACAACTTGAGCCACAGCTAAGGCAATGCACAAATTGAGATGAATGCGGTATCGGATAGCTGACAGCGATCTGATAGCACAAAATATACATCAGTCTTTTTCTGATTTTTAAACTCATTAATAACTTGAAAATAAAATCACTTCATGAATGGTATGTAACAGCACTCATCACCTGGTGCACCAATTTACCCTAGCAATGAATTCTTTTAACAAAGGAAATGCATCCAACAATATAATTGACTTCATAATGGAAAATTTTAAATGGATACTTTAAACAAGTAGTTAGGGCCTGTTTACATGGAGGTGGGGGACTCCAGATAGGTGAGGTAACATGTGGCGAGTCACCCCACCTATCATGTAAACGTGATCAAGTTAAAATGAGCGACTGTATGGAAAGGCGGGTTACCCCAGCTAAGCGGGTTACCTCACCTACCTGGGGTCCCCCACCTCCATGTAAAAGGTATGGATATGATCGTATACCAGTGGTAAAAAAACCAACTGCTCTTACAACTTCTTTTTTGTTACCTAGGCCCTATGTCTGTCAGCCGGGATGCAAGACTGAAGTAACTTTTATAATAATAATTACCTGCCCAGACATAAAAATATAATTATCGCACAGGCAAGGGCAACAAGTGATACTCCACTGCCAATGTAGGTGATAACATCCAGCGCATACTTATCGCCCGGGGAGACCTGTTAAGTGAAGCGATATATTTAATGTCTTTTTTTTTTAAATTTTATAATGTTCTTTTCCATCAGTGGCAAAGGATAGTAATAAACGAATAGGTGCCATCACTACCTTCCTTATAGCTAACAGTTATTGCTTACACACTATATATATATACCACATGTACCTTTACATCGGTCCAGCGCATCAATACAGAAAAGCTTGTTAAGTGATTGGTGGAGCAAATTATTTGCTGTTTGTTAGTTGTTATTAAGGAAAGACCTTCCGATGACCATTCCCTTTCACTGCGGAGTAACAATATCGCGTGTTAGTTTTGTATATTGACAACTCTGATTAATAGAGTGAGTAGGAAATATAACTAACCCTGGAACTGGTTTCCAGAAGACACACAGAGGCTCTTTCCCATCACTTGTCTATAATGTAGAACAAAGAACTAGACACGGTTATCATACACCACGACCTTTACTCTCATACAGAAATACCACACAAGTACAGGTGCAAACGAAAAGACATCTTTGATCAACACTGTTTTGACTTCGATACTCCTCTACTTCACAAAACTACAAACCTTCTTCTCGAACGTCAACAATGCATCTTTCTTGAGCCTTTGAACTGGTTTGCCGTCGTAAGATGCAATCACTGAGATAATTTCCGAGTTGAGAAAAAGTTGGCCATCATCTTTCCTGTGTCAGAGCAAGTAGAATCTAAATTTTAGTACGGATAAATAAACTACACTCACTTGCTTGCTTGCTCAATCAATCAATCAATCAATCAATCAATCAATCAATCAATCAATCAATCAATCAATCGATCAATCAATCAATCGAACAATCGATCGATCGATCGATCGATCAATCAATCAATCGATCAGCCAATCACTAGTGGAGTATCACGGGCAGGTGGATATGTAGACACAAAGTTTTAAATTATATATGCCCCATAGTGCTAAGCGTATTTAACACATGATCATGATCTGATACGTTAGTTTTGTTTTATTTAGACCAAGAAGTGCTATTATTTATCTACTTATTGGAAAATATCAATCGCTTTTTTTTCCAACTGTTCTGGCCTACATCACAGAACCATCTAAATGTTAACAATTAATAAAAATAATATGGTAAAAATAGTATATTATAACCTAGAAATTTTCTCTTACTGTACCTGTTGTTTGACGGTTGATGTTTCTTTGTAAAGTGAGTCGTAAGATTATTAAACACGACTATGCCGACAATAAAGCAACCTGCGTAGACATAAAGTTCTATTTTTAAGAAGTCAACGAGTTATTTTTGAATCGATTATATGTAAATTACTAATGCTGGTAAAACGATAAACAACATTGAATCCTTAATTCAAAATCTGATTTTCACTGCTCTAACTCCTTCAGATCGGACAGGTACAGATGAAACTGCAGACCTGAAAGAATGAATGAACCATTTGAAGGTTTAATACACCTGCGTCACCCCCACTACCCTTCAAGAAACTAATAATTGACCGAGGCTGGTCAAGGCGCAAATAATTAGGAAAGTATTTTATGAAATAAATATTTTGCTAGACTGAGATAATCTGGTGGAGCTGTCGATTTTGATTCTCCGTACTGGATGTAGTACCTTTGCTTGTTTTAGGTGTCTCAATACCACCGTTGCTTGGTTGAAAAGTTATAAAACCGGTAAATATGTCTTGGTCTTTAGAGTTAGGAATAGTGATGTTACGCTTATCCAAAAGGATGTATTCTATACTGGTTAAAATATCTGTAAAGAGAAAGTAAGAAAACAATAACAGGTAAAATTATGTTTTTCGGACAAATTTTATCAGTAACCAATATCGCACTTTTGAGTCTGGCGGAATATAAAGGAGCCTTTGGCTTGACAAAGTTTTGGTCAGATGATTATGACTAAGCTAAACATGTTTTAAGTTCCTGGTTCATTAGCCAGTAGGTTATTCTCATAACTATCTGAGTGTACGGTTCTTTAATGTTCTTACCAAAATTTCTTCTGTCCCACAACAAGCTTTGATTTATTGAAGATGAGAAGTTTAAGGCTAAAGACAAGGTTTTTTCCACAGCTTCCACCAAGTTCATAATCTACAGACCAAAAAAAGTTAACTTAATAATTTCCCATCAATTCTGTCGATATTCTGATTGATTAATTAGTATAGGTAATGGTATGATTTGTAGTGATATTTGGCATAAATACCTCGAGTGATATTTCAAACTTGCTATACGTAATTTCACGAGCCGTTGGGCGAGTGAGATTTAAGACAAGTTTGAAATATCATGAGTGGTATTTATCCCAAATATCACATGCAAATCATGCTATTATTTGTTTATACTACTACCCGCAAAAGGTTTGTAATTTTCACATGAAGGTATTTCAAATTAAGCTGAAATACCACTGCTCTAAGCCAATCAAATTGTAGAAATTTCCCATGTAGTAGTATAATACGTGTAAAACAAGCGAGCTTGTGCTCCGCTCTTTTAGCGCTCGTCAATTGAGTCCTTAGCTAAAGTCTATTTTTTTTCCTTGGGTAATATTAGTTTCTGACTGGAAAAACGTTACAGTTTTTTTTTATCTCGGCCAGAACAGACTTGACATGGTTTCTACAAGGTGGCTGGCAAAGGAAAACTTTCTTTGTCAGAAATTTAGCTTAAATAGGCCAGATTCGATACATAAGAATTCTAACATGAATCCGAGGGTTTGCGGACAAAATTTCAATTTTTTACGAGTCTGTTGTCTTGTAATTCCCAGAATAAACTTGATCACGAATAAAACCAAACCATAATTAATAGAAATATGACCAGAAGGCTTTGTGGTCATGTTAGAACTTTCATATACTATCGAACGTGGGCTATTACAAAAAAATCTTAATTCTCACCATTCCACTTGTGCGCCAAGCTGCAGCATCATTCTCGTTTAGAATTTCATCAACAGTAGTCACCAAAGTGGACAGCTGATTCTACAAGATTAACAGTCAAGCAAAAACCTTAGCCAGAAAAAAATGGAATATTATTATTTATGGAGATGATACATACTGTACGTATATCGCTTGTAGCATAGGAGGTCATCATAGTCCTTGTCTACTAATAGCTACAGCATGTATGTCATCTATAAGCAAAGTTCAACTTTACCTTTATTTCAGACTGGTTCACTGAAACTTCCATTTCCAGCATTATAAGTTCAGTGAGCTCTTCTACCAATGAAATGCTAATATTAATGGCATCGGCGGTGAGATTTCCAGCTTCTATCAACTCATTAAACAATCTGATATACTTTGAAATCATAACGTGATTGGAGATGTCATCCATGATATCCTTCAAGAATGATGAAAAGGACAAAAATTGTAAAGAATTAAGCTATTTTCTACATGAACAGAATTAAAATGCCAAAGCTAAGCAACAATCTTTAAGAGAAAAATGAGTCAGCTTACTCATTACCATTCCAGCACATAACAAACAAACAGGTGAAGGTGAATAATGATGGATATGAACCCGAGACGCGAATAAATTAGCCGAAGGTTTCGAGTTACGGGGACAAATCAAACCACGCAAAAAAAGCTATCCATCGATTTTGCCCTAAATTAGGTCAATATTAATTAAATGTGGAAATCAAAAGATAAGAGCAGAAACAAGCGTTTACCTTGTATGTCTTTATTTCATCATGAAGGCGAAGTAAATCTTGGATTCTGTCTTTCCCTTTTTCAGGATGAGGAACTGAAAATGTTTTCACGCAAAATGAACAGGGTCTTCGTTCCCTAAAAACGTCGCTTAAGCAAACTATCATATTTACATGACAGATTTGAAGTGAACCTGATTATTGTCAGCTTGTGGAAGGGCTTTTTTAAAAGTAGTATACGGCGTCCCGGAAAATACGTTTTTTGTGCAGGAATCCTATTAACTCGCTTAGGAATACAACAACGCCGATGCCGTCATAGCCTTTTGTCTTTTTCTCATGAAGAAAATGCGGTTGAATCTCATAAACATAAGGTCCTGTGCTAGTTTTGGGTGATTCAACCGGTTTTACAGGTTCTGGCCAGTCACTCAAAAACCAGGACATTCTCTACCTAAAAACAACTAGAAAACTGTCAATCCAGCTGAACCACCTAAAAATAGCACATGATCTTACCTTAATACTCTCCCTCCCGCATTTTATCCACAAGATCGAGATAAAGACAAAAGGCTATGAAGACGTCGACTAAAAGATTCCTGGCAAAGAAAACCGATATTTTTCGTGAAATCCTATACTACTATTAGAACACTAACGTTGTCTCACCTTCACAGACCAGCGTTGAAGTAACCGATGGATTTCCGGAAGACATTGTAACACAAGGATAGTGTGTTGACGGGCTATATAGTATTGGCACGGTTGAGTAAGTCGACATCGCTTCGTCTGAAGCAAGAAAGGAATCTTTACTCGTACTTTTTTTCGCGATGATTCCTGAAGACGACGGTGTAACTTTTATTGAAGAAGAGCTTTGTTCCCAGTAGAACTCACTCAAGGGAAAAGAAGTAACGTTTCCCTGTTTTATTCCTGCATAAAAGAAATTGAACCAATCTGAAAAATTATGCCAAAGAACCAGTAGAATTGTTGATGCAGGAAATTTCAAATAAACCTTCTTCAAATCGTAAACCGCTTTTCTTGATTCTTATCCAGCAGCCTTTCGTTAAAAGATAGATAGACTGAAATTCATGCGAGAATAAGAGAAACCACTATGGAACTATGAAAGGTTTGTCATATGAAATCATTTTCTGAAAACAGGCTCACCACTTATGTACAGAAAACCATTCTCTGCGTGGGTCTTGCACCCGTCGCTTTTGCTTCCAGCATTTAGTGAAACTGTGTTAGGTGCGATGTATCCAGAGTGAGATAGAACTTGAAAGATCCCTCCACTTCCACCACAGGCTTGGCAGGGACTTCTTCCACAAAGGCCCTTAAGTCCCTTGAGGGAAATTGAAGCGCTTTGGGAAATATTAACCTGCAAGTAAAAAAAATCTTTTTTGAGTGCAGAGCACATTAAATGCGTCTGAATTTATTTACATAGCCCAACTTTCTTTTTTCCCTTTTACGTAGGAGTAATCTTTTAAATTTCTGATTTTAAGGTCTAACTCGCAGTCATCGGAAGTTTCGATTTCGTGACGAAAATGAACCAATGATTTGTCAAAATTTAAATTTTCACATAATACAATACAACCAGTACATCTATAATAAGTATTCAGAGTTATGCGCCACACCAGGCGGAGGCCCAATGATCCCACATGTGAATAGGGCCTGCCTTCAGAAACAGGCTGCATAGCTCAGGAGTTCAAGAAAGCTTTATAAGCATTTAAAAGCCAATTAAGGTTATCTTGGCTTTAATGAGTTTAAAATTTGCTTCGAAACTGGAGATTCAATCGTTTTTGAAGGCCTTGTTAAATAAGTTTGTATATTTTGTACCGTTGTATTGTATTAACTTCAGCCCATCTTCTTATGTCATTTATATAGACCTATCTTAATTCCTCTTCTTCCTAGTTATAAAGTAGTTTATGTTTTCCTCTAACCGCCTCGACTAGCCAAGCTATTTGTGAGCAGAGGATGTCTGCGTGTACATGTATGTTGTGATTTAATTTAATTCAATTTGTAACTTCTATGAAGATCAAAAAAACTTCAAACAAAGCTTGAGTAGTCTTTCAAGAGCCATAATGGTCTGGCAGTTCACACAACCCCGTGCGGTATTGGCTAATTAGCAAAAACACTTATCTAACTTGCAAATAAGTAAAAAACTGGCTTAGAAGTTCTTACTTTTTGTGCTAGCAGCCTTACAAGGCCCCCTGAACTCCCTGCTATAAGGTCATGTTGATTTAGCTGATCTGTCAGACTGTGCGCATCTGCTATAATTCTTCCACCTTTAAAAAAATAAGGAAAATGTCGTGTTTTACAATCTTAATGGATCTTAACGATCCACTGACAGGAGGTCAGGTTTTGTGTGAGTGCAATTTTCGTGTGATTTCGGTTTTCTGAACAAAGTAAATGGCCGTTTACTCTGCAAAACCCAACTGCAGAAACATTCCGATGTGATCAGATAAAAAAAGGTTACCACTGTTGGACTTACAATCCGGACGCCCCAAGTTCAGGCCCAGCTCTGAGAACAAAAAGGTCAGTTTCATTTGGTAACAGTATGTTACGTGTAAATTAATGGGTAAAAATAATTGCTGCTGATAGACTCACCGATCTTTAAAGCGCCAACGGCCTTGAGTTCCATTGCTGGTCCGCCAATACCAGGAAGATTTGGTCCCGTGAAACCCCCTAAGAAGATAAATGAGTAGAACGAGATATTCATTTCAGTCCTCCTGATTTAACTGCAATCCACCAGGATCAATCAAACAATCAAACAATCATTCAATCAATCAATATCAATCGATTGCTTGATCCATAGATTAGTTAGTTAATCAAACAATCAACCAGTCAAAGCAGACATCCTGTGTTTGTTCGCCTCTTAGACACTGGTAAGCAACCAGAACTGGATATATGATGACGTCACCAAACTTTTCAGAATGACGCCCTCGCCAAGGGACACGATACTGGGTCACTTCTTGGGTCTTGGTTACGCCTTGAAGTGCCCTTTTCTCACAGTATTTTGGGAGCTGCGCCTATGAATAATAATTGAACCATGAGTGTGGAAAAAAAACGGCGCCCCATGAAGTTTTGCGTGTTCTTTAGAAGTAAGACGATGTTAGATGTTTTACTGCAAATAAAGTGAATAATTGAAAGTTACTGTACTATACCTGTGCTTCCTCCCAGATACTGATTAATGTCTACAGCACCATACGAGCTAGCGAGGACGTTGTCTCCTCCTCCCTGTCCCCCATGTCCAGCACCTCCAGCTACCAGGTTACTGTAGATACCTCGACCAGGACCATTATAAGGCGGTGCTATGCGATAGTTAGAGAGCATGAAAACGTGGTCAATCGGATTAACGAAAATAACGGGGGGTTAAGTAGAAAACAGTTTTTTGCTAGGAAATTCACGTTTACAATGAGACCAAAACCTGGCATTTAAAACTGGAATATTGTACATACCACTATAGCCAATCTTTGGAACAAACCCTCCAACAAAACTGGCTAATTGTAAACTTGTTGATGAGTTTATGTCAACCTCAAATGATCCTTTTTCATTTACCACAATGTTTTCTCCCTCTAATGACAACGCTTCAGTTCCTCCGATGTAAACTGGATTTCCAATTTTGACGGTGTTAACAAACTTAAAACGAGCCACTTGGTAGGTCCATTGCAAACCCATGTCATCAGTGTATTGATGTTTCGTTGAGCATCCTTGATACGTCTTAATCAAATTATTAGTACCAGTAGTGACAATTTGAATCTGGGGTTTTCTTGTTTCATTTCCTGTATCGATAATGACACTTTCAAATTCTGGACTGTATTCAAATTTTTCTGCTGAATTAAGAAAAATGATAGTGCACTTACCGAAAGATAAATGCTCTTTTTGCCCATGCATGTTTTCACGACCTTTTACTTTGTGAGTGGCAGGAAGGGTATTGATCGGCTACTTTGACACACAATGGTAACGTTTTGGCCAAAATGTTCTGTTTCCCAGTTTATAAAAAAAAACCTTTATTTGGATATATGAACCTGAGTAAGCAACCCGTCATATTTTGCTGTTCTTGCTTGTCACTTTGTTCTGACGTAAAAGATAAGTTCAGTAGTCTTTGAAGACCTAAAACTTCCTGTCGCTTTCTTAAACAGAATATTCTAAATCATAATAAAAAGCAGAAAAACAAATCTGAATATTATCATTCGAAAATTCCAGTCTTCTGATTAAATACAATTCTTAGGTTATATTGGTTTGTACATGAAACGTATGTGTTTAGGTAAACAAGACTTTAATGAAAATAAATAAGAAATGTTTCTTCGATATTCTAAACCCATTTAATTTTAATTTATGATATACATTTTTATTGCAAACGAAGATCGTAATACTAAGCCTTAGAACCTCAGGCTAAACTTAGAAAATAGAATTTCTGAATAGGAAAGAAGGCACTTCCAGAAATTTCGATTTTCGTGAGAAAAGCTGAGAAAAGCTGAAGGTGGTTTGCCATAATCGCTAAAGGCGACTTTCAGAGGCTAACGAAAAACAAAAAAGTGTTGAAAATGACTTTCCCTTGTTGTAGTGTTTTTTATAGCCACAAAACTGAGTTCTATACTAGTAATGTTCCTAATGTAACTAGTACAATTTCTGTTACGCTGTTTAGGATTTAGTTTTTGGGTCTGCGAAATTAGAGGCAACGTTGACTTCATATAATTTGAAATAAAATTACCATAGTACATCCCATTGAGGGTGTTACATGCGCTAGAAGACCTAAAACCTTTTTATTAAATTTTCTATACATTTGTCTGTAAAAATTTCCCGCGAAAAATTGCAGACAAATATGTTGAAATCTAAAGCAAGCTTCTGGAGAAATTTAAGCACAGTAACGGCCCCCAAAAGTTGTTAGTAAAATCCTTTGCTGTGTAGCTTTAGTTTACGAATCATATTTTTTTCAGAACAGCCGTTTTACCGAAATCATTCGACATTAGATTCTCATACAAACGCTGTAATTTCTCACGCGTTTGCCTACTCGTCAAGATGATGGCGTCGAAAACCGTGACAAGGTCTATTACAGAACTGAAAGAAAAAAGCATTCTAACTTACTTGCATTTGAAATTGGGCAAGCTGTTGACAATCTCAATAAGAAAATAATCTAGGAATAAAAGAAAGAAAATTATAGGAAAAACAAGTTATAGGAAAAAACAAGTCCGCTTGATGTGTTTTCCTTGTCGATCAGTCTGCTTAAACAGGTGCCTTGTCCCATTTTCATTACATGAATGAGCTGTATTCTTGCGCAGATATAACTGATATACAGACATAGGGACTGGCATTCTTTAAAAAAAAACTGGTTCATCTTACTTTGAAAAATGAAAAGAAAAAATTTCCGTTAATTTTTTCTCCCACGAGGTTACAAAGAGAAAATGCAATGATTATTATTAATGTAACCATCAGGTATGAGGTTACAAAGAGAAAATTCAATGATTATTATTAACGTAACCTTCAGGTAAACCATCTTCCATCACACCGTGCACCTGAAGTCGAAACTTGACATTCTAGTTTTCCTTGTCGATCAGTCTGCTTAAACAGATGCCTTGTCCCATTTTCATTACATGGTAACTGTTCTGTTTTTTTTTTGTTCTTCGCGGAGAAAAAAAAAGACGAGGAGGAAAAATATTTAAGGAGGACTCGACGGCTATTCTGGCGCGAAATTTGTATACTGAAATCAATATTTTCGCCATCTATTTTTACAAGACGCGGAGAAAGTGGTCCAGGTTTAACATTAATTTTTACTACCTTGAAATGTTTATCGTGATTGTGTTTGTATAGCGATAAAATAAAGTAATAATGAAACGTAAGTCTTTATTTCATCAAAAAAAAAATTTAATGATAAAACTATCAACGCGCACAGTCATCTTATGTTACAATAATACGGAAGATAAAAAAAACTATGGTAAAAATATCTACATTTATATATATATAAATTAAAAAATTATGTCATTACCATAAATGGAGCTTTGTGTTCGTATGGCGATAATCAACCTATTTACAAAGATGTTCAAGATAAAAAAACGCTTTGTATTTATATTTTAAAACGTATGTCATTACCATAAATGGCGCTTAAAAATCAGCAACCTTTTTCCTAAGATTATTATGTACATAAGTCTTCTTGACAGGAATGATATCTTTCAGTGGGTGGCAATCCGTTGATAATAATTTCTTTAAAATGTTTCGGTCTTGTTTATTTAAAAGGTTCTTGATAAAAACTGGAAATAAAAAAAAACGGCGTTTATGGGGGCCCGAATTTCATCCGATTACTTGGAGTCGTTATTACTCCCTGTTGAGAGGAGAAAACGACTCGAAACAATCGGATGAATTTCAGGCTACGTTTATGGCATCGGTCTAAAAAATTTTGTATAACCGTAAGATCGGACTCCGATGCCCCATAGACTGAAAGTGCATAGCTAAAATTAGGTAAAACAATAGATATAAAAAGGTGATCTATCTCTGCCTGAGAGTAGTGTTCCTTTCTTAGTGTTCGTAGGACGTATAAACACTTGTTTGCTTTGACAAGCTTGGTTCTTACATGCTGATTAAATTTCCCGTCACTCTGTAGAGTTACTCCTAGTAAAACGAAGCTATTACATTGAGGAATATTGTTAATTGGAGAGTAGAGTACTTTGTGATTTTTCTTTCTAACAACCAGCAGTTTACATTTACAAGGGTTACAGACCATTTTATTGTCTTTACATCTGGTTACGAATTGTCCTACTAAGTCGGCAGACGGGTCGCGGTTCCTAGTGATAGGCGAAACTATAGTGGAATCATCTGCATATTTAAAAAGAACAGGGCAACCATTAAAGAAAATCTCCAAGTCATTCAAAAATATATTAAAAGATACAGTCCGCTTACACTACCTTGTGTGGCTCCTCAGCTAACGACACGTACGTTGTTGTCTTGCATAGAGGAAACTCTGATACCAATTGATAATGTACGGATTTAGGGATAGCTGTTTCAGTTTGGCAGACAAAATAGTCTAAATAGGCGATGGTTTGTATCTTCTATCATGTTTAAACAATGCAGGCCATTTAATTAATTTTAACGTAATTTCAAACTGTTTAACTACACCATTTCTTTTTTGTAGTTGAAACTTGGGATATGAGTATTTGAACCAATAAGCAAATACGGGTATTTAGTATTTATTTGGCGTATATAGTTACTCTAACTGTTGATAGACACTTTATTTGACTTTGTTTCTCCCAAATTCTAAGAGAATTACCGCAGCAGCCATATTGATTTCTTTCCATAGGGCAGCCGTTCATTTTTTGTCTGTAACCGATCTTTCCATTGTTACGGTAAGTCATATCGGCGTATCAAGAAATTAGCCATATCGCTCAGGCATCCCAGTCAGTTGACGCCAAAAACGTGAAACCTAATTGGTGTTGCTGTGTCAGGACAATTGCCTTGATGCTCTTTCCCTCCAGCCACTCCAGGTACAGTATAAATTCAAAAATTGCTAGTCTTGGGATGAAAATGCGAATTTTTTTTACTATACGTTTAATCAACTTTATGTACCTTGACGCTTTCGAAAGTGTACTTCCCAACAGGCAAATGTCGCATAATTGGGTCAGTGCTATAACTGTTAATTTCAAGCACGCCGCGCGTCAACTTGATTTTTCAAAAATATCATTGCTTAATCGATATCGCTACCAAAAACATCTTTCAATCCATGTCATTCTATGTTTTCAAAATATATGTGGGACAACAGTTATGTGAGGTTTCTCTAGAAACTCTCAGACGGTTCTTGAGCACCCGTTATAACATAATACTTGAATTCCTATCAGGCCATCATGATAAAAATCTCTGGTAATTTTCCCTCGGCAGTGCTTATGTAAGATGATGTCTTAAGTAGTGTAAATTAAACAATCCATATTTTCTGTCGCTTAATTCCGACAAAGTCCCCCCCATAATGGAGGAAATTGGTGATGGTCTTTTTACTTTTTTCAAAAAAAAATAAATAAATAAATAAATATCTAAGCACTCAAACGAAGAAGGAGGATGTCAAGAAGCTACTGATTTGCTCTCGGTCACGCTTGGAGCAACTCTCAGTACACTTCTCTCATTCTTTCCATACATCCTGCGTACATCCATGTCTTGGTCTACACAAACTAAGCAAGAACCGATTCTTAACTTCTAAAAGATGCAGATTTAAAAGAGTCTTTAGCAAATTATTCTTGAAAAAAAAAAAAGTTTATGTTACTCAGTAAAAATGTCAGCTTCGAGTATCATACAATAGTCAGCAGATTAATAATAATATTCTTGATATTCATGAACGGAATAATAATTCTGTATAGTTATAATCACCAGAATTATCGCGGCCATTATCGCGGTTACAAGTACGAATAAAAACATTTGAATGAAAGCTGACATTGTTTATGGCTCAGGATTTGATAAATGACAAGGCAGCAGGGAAATTAAGTGTGAATCACAACATCAGCACGTGTTATTTATTATTATAATTATATAATCAGGCTCAAAAACTGTTCCAGGTTGAATTGACACTTTATCATGCAGTGATGTAAGTCGAGTTTTTTTTAAACGTAGGTGAAGAGGGTGGACACTGAATATATTCTGTTATTCCAAGTTTTTCTTAACGACGTGGCAGTTGCTGAGCTTATTTTTAAGAAGTTATCTAGTACATGTATTCTCTATCGCTACTCTTGGCCGAATAGAAAATATTTCAGTGTTGTAACTATTAAAAGCAAAACAAAAAATATATATGAAGGAAGCCAAAAGCGATCCTGTTTATTATGCAAACTGAAGACGCCCTGGTCAGAACAAAAAATACCTTTAGCTTGCTTTTTAATTGAAGCTATGTCGGTGGAGCTCAGTTTAAGAGACAAAAGTATATTGGAACATTATTTCTTTCGTAGTCATGTTCATTAATTACATATCAGCAGACATTTCTGGCTCACATTTGAATAGAAATGTGCTATTTGCACATCCCCTATAACACACCTTGTTTGCTTCCCCCTTTTTTGGGAGCAAACAAGGTGTGGATAGAAGTAAATAACAAGGCTGTGGAGAAAGATCAGAGGGAGATACAAACAAACAATGAATGAATATTCAAAAATCGAGTTTTCTTTTGGTTCTCTTGACTAGGAATAGCAATTATCTTTTTATATAATAATGAAAGTGAAAAGTGAGTATGGACTGCCAGAACTGAGTTTTGACCAGCGAGGCAAGGCAGAATGTAAGAAACAGAACAGAAATGTAAGTTAAAAACAATTTACAATACACTGGTACATACAGCAAAGAAAAAATATATGAAATGTTGGGGTTCGGCTTTATCTTTGGTCCAAATTTTATTTTCGTTTGGTCTTAGGAATGGCTAAGCTTAATAATAAATCATCAAAAGGTGAACTATCTGTTTATGGTGCCTCCGTTGCGGAAATTAATGTCCTTCAGCAATTTTTAGACAGATGCTATAAGTTACGCTTTATATCTACACAGTTAAATATTAGACGATCATTACTACAAAAAACAAGATAAAGCGATTTTTCAAAAAGCTAAAGAGCATGATAACCACCCTCTGAAGGTGTGCTCACCGCAAGAAAAGAACAATCCAAAGTACAATCTTAGACGTAAAAGCTTCCAAAGGCCAAAGATAAAAACTGAACGTTTTTAGAACACATTTGTAAATAGATTAATTTTTAAATACAATCTTTTATGATGTTTTAAGTCAGACATGTGCATGTAACTAGTATTTCGCATTTTTTAATCTTTTTATTCTATTGTAATTTAGCTGAACTTTTAATCTTTTTGTCCTGTAACATTGGATATGTATTTTTATCTAATGCGCAGTAAAGACATTTATTATTATTATTATTATTATTATTATTATTATTATTATTATTATTAAGAGGAGAAGTAACTAACCTCAAACAAACTCACTCACAAATCGGTTGTAAGTCATTCAATACTCTCAATATATTAACGGCAAACGGCAAACGTCGGATCTAAGTTGTGAATTTCTCAAAATGGAAAATGAGCTGACAAAAGCGGCTAAAGCGATTTTCATGGATAAAACTGGTGTAAAACAACTGATTTCCGTGTACTGATAATGAGCAGTCAATGATAAGTAAAGGGTAAACGTGGTCACGTGGTACAAATTCACGTTTGTCGTTAATGCCGTAAACGAGACTCTATCTATTTCCATTTGAACTACGCGTGGCTAGAAAGTCCTTATTATGAGTAAAAATGCTTGGCACATTTTTATACAAATTAAAAATAATTCCGATTTGTATACTAATAATATGATAATTCAATTTAAGTTTAACGGTTTGTATTTTATACAACCCATCTTTTTTTTTTTGCACCGCTAATGGGCGAATCTTTGCTCTCGTCATTGTTTACATTTTTTTCTCATTAACATACGCCTTAACTCGTAAATTCAAAAGTTGAAAGAGCTGATTAACTTGAGCAATTTAAGCAAGCAACATTGAAGGAAATATCAGCCATCGAAAACTCCGAAATTGCTAGGTGGAAAAAGAGTTAATGAGTCATATGCATTCTTTGTAAAATTTCCAGTTTTTAAAAGAGAATTTCTCCAAAACCATTGGGTAGGTTGGGCTCAGATTTTCAGAAATAACTGAAATTTTCATGCTCTTTCAATATTCAGAGGTTTATTATATTGTTAGCTTTATTAGATGATGAATGAGCATATACTTTTTTAACGAGGCAAAAAAATGTAAACAAAGATTCGCTTATAATAATGACCGAGTAACTTTATTTTTGTCCCTGCAATTATTCAAACAGCTGTTGGGTCGTTTCTTTGCTTTCTGTTACACCTTGCGACCGAGAGCTTTGCCAGCAATCCCTTTTTCTCTGAATCGCTTGTAATATTATCTTTGTGCATTCTCTTCATTTTGTAATCCTTTGATTTATTTTTCTAAAGGAAAACGTAAAAGAAACGTCAATTGTGTATAAGGTTTAACAGCTGTGCGCAGTATTTCTTAGTAACTTGTTCAGCCTGAGGAAACCGCAGCCGTCATTTCCCCACGTCACCATTGGTTTCTTGACGAAATGATGGGCGCGATCCATTCAACCAAAATTTCCGGAAATTTCGGTCCAACACTCAATAGAACGGTTCGGTCCAAACGGAAACGTTTCGAAAAAACGGGTCTACCGTTTGAGGTGGGACAACTTTTTCCGGTCGGACCAGTTGGAATTTTGGTTGAAAGGATCGCGCCCGATGTCTCTGGAACGGGCGTAGAAATGCCATATTTATAACGTGTCATTACCCAGATCTGGGTAGTGCTTCTGTTTCTTGTGCCGCTAGGAAAATTTGCTTTGACCAATCAAAAGCAATACCCAGATCTAGGTAATCAGGGTTACGCGTCATCACTATGGAATTTCTGTTTTCTCGGGTTACGACTTCTTAATTTATCTTTTCACTATTAATCGAATATGTTGATACCTGTTCGTTCTTTATGCTTGAACTAAGTGAATGGCGCTCTTGGAGTTTTTTCAGTGAACTTCGTACCTGACAGTGTGAGAAATAAGAACTTGTTCAAACAAAACAAATAGAATGACCGCAAACATCTGTGACAAAGACCAAGGAAATCATTAAAGATATTTTTGTTTCCTGACATACTCTTACCTCGGTGTTGCCAATGCAGTGGAATAGAAGAATAAAAACGCCCTAAAAATATGAAAAGTACAAAACAGAGGTTGAATCAAACAGGTTTCAAGACATTGCCGTTGTCTTTAACTGAAGCCCTTTAGTCTCAAGGTCACTTTTTATTCCTAAAAATTCCAAGAAGTTAAAAAAAAAAGAAGAAAAGAACAATTAGCCAAACCTGAAAAGTGGATAGAATGACAAAAGCGTAAAGAAATGGTTTGTTTCGGGCTACTACTCCAACCAGTCCAAAGACCCAGCAAAGGCCAAGTAGCGGGAACAATATTACTACCGCTTTAAGAGCGGCGCTGCAAATGGAAACAGAAACAGAACATTCTGTAGATAATTACCGTAAACGTTACTTTAATTATGTCTTACATTTATTAATATAATTTTTCGGAAATTCTAGGAGGGATTTTTTTCTTGACAACGGGAAAAAAGACATTTTCAGTTGTTTTAGTGGCGACTAGTGAGTTTTTTAAGTATAAAAGTAAAAACAACGACAAAGAGAAAAACAACAAAACAGCGAACAGGAGGAAACAAAAGTGAATCTTAAAAGAGGGAAAACAAAGTGTAAGCCATGCATGGTTTGTAACATGGGCACATTTTTAAAATCAAGATTAAGATTGATAAATTGCCTGCCATATGGAAAGAATTTCAGGAGCTCAATAATTTACTCACGTAAGTCTTTTATCTTCATTTGGTGTCAGTGGATTCCCTTTCAAGGATACACGAACAGCAACGACAGCTACCAGAACAGCAATATTTATCTGAATTAGAAACAGAAACCATCAGGGACTGCCCAAATCTTTTTAGTAATTTTAATTACTAAAATTTCCGTTGATATTGTTCTCGGTCAATATCATTCTACATTTTGTGAAAGTCACCTTTCACTCGCCCAAAGGGAAGATTTCAAACAGGCCATTTCGTAGCTGGCAGTTTTGACCAGTTGTCTGTTGAAATCCATTCGAACACAATAAGTGATCATTTTTATTCGCAGAAATGTCTAGTTATTAAAGTCGTCCAATTTCCTCTATATAAGAATCCCAAAAAGGGTATAATTGTTATTAATCAATATACTGATCATGAAATTGTAAAGGCAACTTCATAGAAAAATTATAAGTAATCGGGACAGTCTCATATCTTTGCGGGGGGGCCTGTTTCATAGTATTGCATTTGTATTCTTTATATATATGGAGTTGAATTAGTCTTCCTGCCAGGAGTTTTCAATAAAGTGGAGAAACATCACCTCTTACCGTTACAATGATTATTACAGGAACGATAAACGCCCAAACAGAGTCGCCTTCTAGCCAACACCTGTACATGTAAAATCAGACGCGATAAACTCGGATAATACAAATATAAAAATAATTTAATCATAATATAGAGTAAAAAATATGAAGGTATAAACGTCTAGTGATTCTTAGCTAGGTAGGGGAGTAATTTATAGTTAAAGATAGCCGAGGACTTTGACTCAACTATTACCGCGGGTAGCTTATTCCATAGTCTTGTAAATGTTCTTCGTCACATTATCTTGCCTATATCTATAACGATGACTCCCTCGAGTTCTAACTTCAGAATGGGGTTGTAGATAACTATTACGTCAATATCAATTTGAGGATAAAAAAGATGAAGGAAAACTCACCCTTGCGGACTGGAGGAAGGAGTGATGATGTAGGTGAAATATAAAAAAAATTATGGTGGGGAAAATTTGGCAAATCAGGTTGTTATATAACATTTCCAAAAAAACTTACACTTTCGATGTGCTGTATCCCTTATAATTTGCGCTCAATGATATTACGACTATGACCGCAGGCAACCCTGTGTTAGAGAAAATGAGAAATTTTCCTATTTCTAATGATTTATACCGATGAAGTAGCTAAAAAATTGTCGGCTGCATGAATTTTTGAGGGAGGTTCATCACCGAATTGGTTTTATTATATACATACTGAGAAATACTCACCAAAAAGCTATGTCGTAAATTTTCGTACGCAAATTAGTTCTAGCCAATCACAGGGGCGAACGATGGTTTTAACACGTGAAAAAAATGATACGTTCAATCTGAATCACGAACGATGTTTTTTCGCGTGTGAGAAAAATGATACGTCCAATCAGAAGCCACAGAGGTGTGCGAATTTCGCGCCAAATTCCCGCTTGCAGCGCCGCTTCGCACACATTCAACGAGAAAAGTTTTACTCTAAGAGTCTTTCTCGCTAAAAAAGTGAAAAACATTTCGGAAATGGAGTGGAATAGTTTCGTTTGTTTCACTGTCGATGAAGAAAATTGAAATTAAAAATTGAAATTAGGGAATTAAATTGTACGCGCGTTTTGTCCAAATCCTAATAATTTCCTTAGCCTTAAGGCGAGGGAAATTATTAGGATTTGGATAAAACGTAAGTTAAATTATTCCCATTAATATCACGGATGAAAAATTACACTCACCGTCGTAGGTTTTTGACATGTTTATCAAATTGATTATCAATCGAGAACTCCACGCTTTGAAAACTTTAGATCTTAAATTTTGGCTCAAGTTCAGAATTCTCGGGGTTTTTCGACAAAGTACCTGACAGAATCCTTCTTGATGTGCTCTTTCGTGTCTTTAGGTTTCCTAAAGAGTCTTTTAATGCCCTGACATCTCATTCATTTAAGACTTTGCGGCCAATGTGGCACTGATACATAGGGAACTTTGCCTTGCAATTTTGTAATTTCACATCTGAAATTGTATATAAAGCTGAAATTTCGCGTTAGAATTAAGGTGCAATTTGTCACCCATGATATTAATGACAAAACCCCTTCTAGACCCAGCTGTTCGAGGGCCGATTAGTGCCGCTAACCCGGGGTTTAATTTTAATCTGTGTTTCTTTTCTTTTGCTCAAAAGCACTTTCCCGGATAATATTTCTCTGTTATTTTTAAGACCCAATCATCAATTTGCAGTCAAAAAGAATAAAACTGAATGTGTACGTGTACGTTTTGTCCAAATCCTAATAATTATCAGGATTTGGACAAAACGCAAGTGAAATTATTCCCTAATTTCTCGAGTATACCATTTGATTACCTATTAATATCATGGGTGACGAATTACGTTAGCAATCTTGGATTTTTGACATGTTTATTCTGGATCGCATCGATCGAGAACTTCCCTCTCTCGAACGTTTAGTGATTAAATTTGGCTTAAGTTCAGAATTTTTCAACAAAATACCTGTTGGAATCCTTCTTGATATGCTCTTTCGTGTGTTCAGGTTTTTTAAGACGTCTTTTTATGCCCTGGCATCTTCGTTCATGACATTTTGAAACTTCGTCGTCATCTTGACACTGAGACGTACGGAAGGTTGCCATGGCAATTTTTGTAATTTCACATGTGAAATTACAAATCTTCGCTGAAATTTCGCGCCAAAATTAAGGACTATGACATTAGCGTTTTAAGCTCCCGCATCCGAATTCAAATTTCGCACAAATCCCATGTTATCGTAACCCAGCTATGAACAACCCGGCCAGGCGTTTGTAGTTTAACGTTAATTTTTTGCTTGAATTACCACCATTATTTCCTTGATGTAAGTTCATTGAGGAAAAAAGAACACACTGATTTATACACACCCCATCCCAGTGCAAAGTAATAACGCATTCTTGTTGTTTGCACATCAAACACTGAGACAACTTTCGTAAACAGATGAATGGCTTCAACGCACATCCAGGCGAATGAAGCTGTAAAAAAGTAGTGAAGCATAACTGCTACGGCTATACAAACACCCTAGCAAAACAAAATAAAAAGTAAAAGTAAAATCTTTGCCTACTGACAATTTTAAGAAAGCAATTTTGAAATAACAAGAGTGATGTTCAGGGCAATGTTAGCGTTGTTGTATTATATTATGTGCTGAACAAGCGACGTATAGTAAATAATAATAAATAATAATAATTCATAAGCTTTGTGTATCCATCTTTAAAAATCAACATATACAATGGATTTACGTGATTAAAGGAGAAAAACATATACTACGAAATACTATTAAGTAAATTTCTAATAAAGGTTAGCAAAAATATACAGATAATAAAAGGAGGAGTCTTGCAGCTCTTGCTAAAAACGAGTTTGTACGATAATGATGATGATGATGATGATGATGATGATGATGATGATGAAAGCTTCACTTACCTTTATGTTTGTGGCTTCGATACCAGCAACAAATATTAAAAGTGACCCAGCTAAAGAAATACACAGATTTAGATGGATTCTGTATCGAAGGATGGATAAGCTTCTGAAAAACACACACAATGAAAGGTATTCAGATTGAAAGGTATTCATCAACTATTCGTCTCTTGTGTATTTTTTGTTAAAAAATAATCGGTTATTTAATAAATTAACATTTTAACTGCAGCCATTTTTTTCTCCAGTATCCTATCTTCCGCTAATTAAGGCTAATACGTCAAAAGTCTAAATACATTATGCAGTGTTCCAGTTTTAACGAGCTAAGATGTTCTCAATGAGATTTCTGCTCCTAAGTCAAAAAAATTTTGTTAGCCTCACTAGTGATAAATGACTTTGTGATAAACTGATTAAGCATGCGCACGAGGTATGTACATACTACAGTACTAACCTGACACATGCGAAGGTAAATATGCATGCTACAAGACAGACGATTGCTATCCCACAACCAATTTTTGTGATAAGGTCCAGTGCCTTTTTTTCACCCTCGGAAAACTAGAAATGATAAATTATAAACCCCTAAGCTCAGAACACCCTCTTGCTAAGTCTTCTTAATTTCACCGCCAGAATGAAGACCTCTTTTTCCCCAAGCCGCACTTTTCACCCTATTTAGAGTCATTAACTTGCACGATAATATCTTGAAATTGAATAAAAACACAGAATACAATGTACGTGAAATAAAAAAAATCCAAACTGTAAAGAATAACCAAGGATTAAAGATGGTTTAGGATAGAAAAGACTAACATGCTTGGATAACAAACGCAAACTTTTTCATTTTAAGATACAAAAACCTTGGCGTAGGCCCTATTAGCATTGTATAAAAGGCTTATTTGGTTTTCTTTTCGAGGCAACACTGCTTTATTTACTCTTCAGCAAGGTGTTTTTGTGTAACCTGTACAATGTGTTCCTCCCCAGATCTTAGATGTTTAGTTTTCTCCAGATGGTGCGTTCGAATAATTGTATTCCGGAATGAGATCACGCAAAACGTTTGTTACAATCTCTTCTACTGTTATTTTAAATTTTGGACCATTTTTAAAAACTCTACCCACGTTGATAATTTTGATTTAAGCAATTTTCTAGATATTCTAATTCAATGGATGCCAAAACAGTTGATTTCTAGTAAGAGTTTATTAAACTAGTATTTAGTTCCGGAATTCAAAACGGACAATCGAACAAGGCCTAAAGTAAGCGTTCTTTTCCTTTGATTAGTACCTTCACTGCTTCGTCCTGGCCATGGTAGCTAACAAGAACAGCAAAACTCGTGAAATGATTTGTCAGACATATAGTGGAGTTGGAGTTTTGATCCTGGCTATGTACATATGTTAAGCCGCTGCCAGACCAGAAAGTCGTATTACTAGACGTGGAGTTGAAGGTAACGAAGAGAAACACAATATCAGTGACAGAAAACTAAGCCTATGATCAGAATATAAAATGGATTGAATGAAAACTTTCTTGGCAACAATCAAAGCTATGAAGGTTTACTCCAGGTCACTAAGAAAATAAAAAGGAACTGATCGAGTGAAAAGAAGAAAGACTGAAAAAATTATCATGAAAAGACATTTAAGTACTGAAAAATGATCGACATACACTATAATTTTTGTTATCTAATGACCTGTTTAAGTACTGACGCAATGCTGACGTCACAGAAAATTGTTTTCCTGTTTTGTACAGTATGATCTATAACTAACAGACAAGGGTATCAGTGACGTCCTAAAACTGGTTTCTGGAAGAAGTGTCAGAGATGTGCAATGAATCGGATTAGAAAGGATGAGAAGCTTTTCACTTTTAACTGAAAAAGTTTTCCATTCTTCCTTAAAACAAAGGAGCATGTATCAAGTGAGTGTTAAAATCAAGTCAGATACATATTGTACTTTAAAGAACAACTGAGGCTTCTGATATTTCTGGATTTTTTGCTCATAATTTTTTTTTCAAACCATAATTTGTTTTTCTTTGTTTGAAGTCCTCGCTTATTTACGGCAATTTCTTATCCGAGGATAGCGGCTTTTCCGCAAAACACTCACACTTACCCGGAGGAAGTGTCTAGAAACCTGCAAGCTGTTGAATTGCTTTGACTCTTAAAAGAAAAGGCAACAAGAGCAATCATCAACTCAGGAAATTTTACAGGGCAAAAGTAATGAAACAAGACATGCAGTTAGTAATCAAGAAGTGTGACAAAAGAATGAACTTTTACGGGTGATGCGATTTGATGAGATGAGAGAAGACGACTGGGAATCAGCATTCCTAGCTATATATTTCACCTTTACACCTATTAAATTCATTCAACAAGAAACAGATTTTGGGCCAGATTTTTAAACGGACTTTAGCTCATGTTTAATAATACCGCGTTCTAAACCATTTTTAGTTTGCCCGACGCTTTTATCTAAACCGAGTATTAATCGAAAACAATTTCAATAAAGCAATAGCGTAGACTGGACAAGCACTTATTTTGTGAAATTAACCCTCTAAGAAAGAGATCTCGAGGTTCAATGATTTAAACCGGGGCCTAAGTTAGATTTCGTTTAAATAACTTATACCTTTTTTTTTTAGGCAACCTTCGCTAGAACAATATTTGTATTTCCATTGTTTTTACATTTTTCTTATGTTTTTGGTTTTGTTTTAATTTTGGGGTGAATAAAAACATCATTATTATCAATACTTTAAAAGCTTTCAAGGAAAAGAGACCTGCGTAAAGAAATAGGCCAATGACCACTTGAAATATTCGAAGCAAAATGCGTGATTAAGCCTCTTCTATAAACCCTTTTCCTTTTCCAAAATATTAAATTATTTAGTTATTTACCTTTGTTCGAAAAGTTATCGTCGCGTTGTTTTGAAGCATTTTCAAGCTACCCCTGTTCGTTATAGCTGTAAAAGACACTATTGGGGCCTTCAGTGCAGATCTGGAAAAAAGCATTTTACTATGTCAAAACACTGTTTAACCATAAATCCTCTTTGGAGAGAGGAATCGATCGTTTATAATCAAGCTGTGACTCACAGCTTGATGACGGTACGATATAAATATTAGGGGACATGCTTCTGGAGGGAGCCTGTGACGTCATAAAAATGGCATCCAGCATGAGGGTCTGAATGGGGTTAACTGATACCTGACAAATGGCCGAAAATTTAACTGACTACTGACATTTGCCTTAGGTTTTACTGTCAACTGACAAAGGACCTGATTGACCCCTATTTTCTTCAAAACCCTTTTTTAAGGCCTTAAATAGCATTGTTCCATTCTTTTCATCAGACAATGTGATCAAATGTGCGTTTTTAGGGGTAATCTTAGCAGGAAGACGTTTAAGTGTCATATTTCGTTAATGATTTTACTGCAGTAAAACCCATGTGTGTCATGTACCATCTGTTGTAAATCTCAAATTTACGCTCCTCTGAATGGCTGCTCAGACTGAGGGCGTTACAAAGGCAACTGCAAGTTTTTACTGAGATGACTGAGAAACGGTTTTTCCTAGTTTTCGTACGATCTACATCCCAATATTATACCTGCCAACTTTTTCTGAGTCAAGTACGTGAGATTTCGCCTTGTAATGACCGAGATTTCCGGAAACGTCCCGGCGACTTCCGAAGATTTCCGACGAATTTCCGAAGAATTTCGAAAGTTGCCGAAAAATAAATGTTCGCAGACTGTTCCCAAAGACGTTTGAGCACTTCTGAAGCTACTTAAAAGACGACACTTTTAGCGTGCTTTGATATGATTTCGTTAGAGCACAAAAAAGGACTTAAAGTCATCATGTGTTAAGAACAAATTGTCTGGACTTGTGAGTCAGGCGTCATAATAAATTGTACTTAATGCGTGAGATCGATGTCTTTAGTCCACAGGCGTGATTAGACTCACGCATAATGCCTATACAATATTCTGATGGTATAAATTTTGATTGGCTTAAAGGTTGGCAATGTTGGACTCTGGCCAGGAAAAACGTTCGAGTGGAGGAGCAACACAAGACTTGAGAAATGGAAGGCCACTCGAAATGCTTACAATAGTAAAGCTGATTAAAATTGAGGTACTATTGCATCAGTTTTCGAATTTAATGTTTAATTTACATTATATGTACCTTTTAAGCCAAAATTCGAATCAAAAATATACAAATAAGTTTCATAGTTAATGATTAATAACAATTTAACTGAAAACTGGCCAAAAGCCTAAAATTTAACTGACAACTGACATTTGTACCAACCCCACCCCCCCGATCCAGACCCTCCAGCATGGCCGTCTCCTTGGATTTTAGCAATCAATTTAAATTTGTTACGATTACTCTTAAAATGTATTTACTCGAGGTAGCAATACGTTTTAATTCAACATTTTGCTGATTTAACAAACGCGCATTTTTTTTTAAAAGAAGCTTGAACCCTCTTTATTTATGCCTTTATATTTGGCGTACCTGTGGCAACCTACTGTCACCAAAGTTTGCCAAAATGTGTCCAAGGATTACCTAAACAGTAACCAAGAGATGACGATTATGTTTCAAGATCTTAAAAATATTAGATAACCCTGTTGAGGTGTGGGATCGACCCACCTTGTATGCCCCAGAATAAGAGGCTTTTGTTAACAAAAACTCGCGTAAAATTGAATCGGGACTAAAAGTAAAGTGATAGCCACTGACCTTTTTGTGCCGGGCGAGTCCACTGTTAACTCTTTTGTGTTGTTACATAGGGCATCGAATTTAAATACAACTGCTACAATTACCAGTCGGTCTAAAATATGTGACAAAAAAACAACAAGCAGTCAAGAATAACCCTACTTAGCCTTCCATATAAATCAATTCAAGTTATCTTTTTAATTAATGAAATCAAAAAGTAGAAGTTGCTTTTAAAGTTTTTTTTCCTTTAACCGATCCTTTTAATAATCCTGCGTGTAGATCACCAGTCAAAAAGCAATATAATGTAATATCAGACAACCATAATGAGCTGTATACTCTAACTACGAATTATATTGATTGCTATTGGATGAAATTTAATGCTGTGCATTGATGAGCCTAAAAAGAAGACTTGCCATGTGTAGTATCGATGAAGCCAGGCATTAATCTGAGTGAAGCTTGTGACTGCTTGCTTGAGTTTGCAGGAACTTCAATCGTTTTGTTCAAATCTGACGTAACGACTGCGTGTAATTCTGTATTGGAAACAATGACTTAATGTGTAATTTTTTAAATCTCTAGAGATTACATCAGACTAAAAAAAGAATTAAATAACGATAATAATGATAATAATAATAATAATAATAACAATGATAACGATAGCTCAATCACTTAATTATTGAATTAAAAATCGTCCAATCAGCCAATCAAACAAGAACTTTTCAAAAAAAATGATGCGGGAAGTTGTCAATCAAACAATCGATTAACTAAGGTAGACTTGATGATGAATTAATCAATTTAAGATATAAAAGTGAGATAGCTATCAAAAAAGTAAAATGATTGAATTATTAACTAATTAAACTACTTTTGAAACAGATGCAACATAACTTAATTTATGATAAATATGAAACTAAACTACCGGAAGAAATACATTTTCGTAATGACTTAATTAATTAAGAATTAATCATGAAAAGTACCAAAAATCTCGTCAGAATATGATTCGTCTTCAATGCCTGTTGAATTGAGAAGGGGCTTGATCAGCGGAGGCAATTTTTGCTCTACATCCAGAAGTATTTCTTCCACCTGATTTATTGCACAAAAAAAAGGAGAGACACTGAGAGAGAGAATATGCATAGCGACGCGGGCTGGACATTTTGCACATTTCATGTACTAACTTATTTCTTTTTACTTTTTCTTTTTAACATGACTCACAGATACAGAAGTACAGTTAAATTGTCGAATCACACCATTCAAACTTTCACCCTAAAAAGAAAGAAAAAGATACCATAAATGAGCTGTAAAATGACTTGAGCAAGTTCACACTATCAGATCTCAATGATTTATAAATTTAATCGGTCTTCAATTTCCTGGTTATTGTAGTTTTAAATTTTGTTCCCTTATCTTTTATGCCTTTCCGCCCTGCAGTCAAACCGAAGCGATAAAAAAGCATTTTCTTCACGTCAAGCATTATTCGCGAATGGCAATCACAGCTCGCTTGGTCACCCGAAGCAACTTAACCTAAGCAGGGGTGTCACATAATAGTGTAATAGTGTCCTCCACAAGGCCTAGCCTGCTTTGCAGACGTAATTTAACCTCTGTCAGAAACGTCTGCGAAGCAGCGCCGAGATCGTTGTTCTGTGCTCCCAACGGACTCAACGAATTACCGGAAGCAGATTTTGAATTTCTGGGCGGGGACCCAGAACAAGGATTTCGGTGCTGTTTCGAGGACGGACTTAACCAGAGTTTAGTTTCATCTGCGGCGCAGGCTAACGAGGCCTAGTACTCAACTAAAGCCAGAGAGAGAGGACATAAAAATTATTCTATTTTTCCAGCAAATATTTTCTTTTATAGATTCGTAGCTCGTTCATATATTTAAAAGCGATTGTTGACTGTTAACTTACTAAATCTTTCATTGTTTCTTTTATTAACGGGGTTCCATTCTTCGTTTCTGGTTGTTTGATCCCTGATGAAATAAATTTGTTGAGACAGAGCTGTTTTGAAAAATCGTGAAACATCCCAGAATATATAGCTACTTTATATATCTACCTGGATTACGGTCAACAAACGTTATGGAAACTAAACCATTATTTGGTAAAAAAAAGAAAAGTAAATAAATATATGTATAGTCCAAAAGACTTGAATCTAAACGCGAAATAAAGGGGAAGAGAAGGAGAAAAGAGTAATGAAATGAAAGAGAGTAGAGGAAGGAAGAAAAGAGAAAAAATTGTGGGAAAGAAAATGGTCGAGCTCAGCGGGAATAGTGAATTCAGCACAGCTACGTTTTCAAAAATTCAGTCAGAAATGTCTCCAGAATGGGACGGTAGAGCCCCGAAAGGCCACTTGAAAAGCCTTTGTCAGATGGCAAACGGCAACATTCGCAAAAGTCTGACTAGATCTTCAAAACCGTAGATATTTCGACGCAGTAGGTCCAGAACAAGAGATTTTGAGGTTTGGCCCGCCGAGGGAAGAGGAGAGAAAAGGGGAAAAGAAACAATTGTTATGTTGTAAATTTTTATATTGGCTCGGCTACTTTGGAGAGTTTTTCTGAAGCTCGAGAAATACAGTTTTAAAATTTGTCTAAATATAAATATTAAAGCCTTAAGTTTTGCAACAGAAGCCGTTTCTCACCTCCTGCAACTGTAGTAAAAGCAGGTTGCTTTGTTTTCAGAAAAGGTGTTGGCGTGCTTGGTTTATTTGACACGTTAACGTCGTGCCGGATTTTGATTGTTGTTGAGATGAGGCTTTTTACTGTAGGTGTGGCATAACTTCTAGTTGGGGTTAAGAGGTGGTATCCAGATGTGGTCGAGACGAAGTTAAGAAGTGTGAAGTACATTTGGCTGTCCGTATTAACTGAGCTGTGGCTTCCAAGTGTAGCTGTCCTGTGGTGTCCCAGCTTGGTTGTACTGTGCCTTCCGCTTGTGTTTGTCCCATAAGCTCCTAGTGTGGCTGAGAAAAGGCTTAAAGTTGGGAACACGCTGGTGCTTTTAGGTGTAGTTGATTTGTAGTCCAGAGGTGTAACTGTAATCTCGCCAAGGCCTGTGTTTCGTGCAGGCAAAGATTTTCTTATATTACTTTCATTTTTGTTATTTTTAACGCCGCGATTACCCTTAGCTTCAATATCCGTGTGGTCATAATTTGAATTAAGTCTGCCTTATTTTAATTCCTTATACCAACCTACAGATGTACGCTCAAATAAGTCGTAATCGTAATTGAAAGCCACGGGAAAAGCTGAGGTAACAACTGCCTGTGTGAAACACTTTTGTACACAAAAATAATGATCAATGAAGAAACCAGAAAAGAAATGCGGTTCAGTGAGAGTTAACCTGAAAATACATGTGAAGTCTAAGTTTTATCTAGCTCTCCTCTTCTCAGGATATATGGTTACTAAGAGAATTTTGCGCCATAGGCTCTTCGGGGACAGTTAATTCACGTACCTGTGCATCGATCATTCAGATTCTTATAACCATCTGTATATGAGCAATTGGTAAAAGTTCCATCCTTTTTTGTAAATATTCGAAGCTTAGCTGATTCCAACTTGCAGTCCCAGGCTGGAGCACTATTTCCGATGTAGATCAAATCACAGGAAGCTGCAATTATTAAATCACCATTAACTTTGCTATAAGGCTGAAAAACCGTGAATTAGTGATAAGCGTGGTCAGGCCGTTATTCTCGCAAACGCTTGCGCATGCGTACTAAGGCCCTGGCAACTGATGGTAAGTTGTGTAACTTTATATCAAGGATACTGTGAAATGTTTTTGGGAAAAACAATAATCTTGAATATAACAACTCATGAGATTTGGGCGAAGAAAAGGAGAACATTATTTGGGTTGGATGTGTTGCCGCATTGTTCAACTATCTGAAGAGATGAAAAGGGATATCAGTTGAAATTAGCTAGAAGTTTTAAAAGCTGCTGGGTGGTGACAGAAATATTCCTTTAGAGAGAATGGTTTTACCAGCAGGCAATGAATAGTATTACAATTCTTGGCAGGTTTTCAAAATTTTGGCATGAAATTCATACCACGTGGCGGTATATTGTACGAACGTATGATGGTGTTGTTGAATAACCAGAGTAGACTGGCGAATGCAATTTAAGCCCAACTGGAATTTAAGTGAGGCATTACCTGGTCTTTTTGTTGACCTGTAATTTGGCGTTTGGACGTGAAATTCGCAACAATTTCTTGAGGCTGCGTCTGCTAACTCTGTTACTGATTTCAAACAAGTCATGTAGATGTGTATTAACCCATCTGTACAGTTCCAGAAAGTGACGTTCCCGTTCGTCAGAAGATTGGTCTTTTCTGTACAAGTCACTGAAAACGAAAAAACAGATGCATTTCGTCGTCTCCGGCAAGACGTTGGGGCATCCACTATGTGTAGGAAAATCAGGAAACGCGATCTGTTTCTCGTAGACCCTATACTGCTCATTTCATTCCGAGGGGCTCAACACAAAACCGTGAGGGCATTGAAGCATGATTAAGAAGAAATCATCCATTATGTGAGTCGGCATTCCTTCAGTGAAATTAGCGGGCAGTTCAAATAGCTAGAAAACTAATAATAATAATCTTATTTCTCGGCTGTTGCTCTACTGAACCAACAGCACTTTACAACAGTGAATGATAAAGAAAACTAAGTAACATAAAAAAGCCTGAAAAATCGTAATAATTAATGATTCTTACAATTCAAAGTAATTTCTAAAAAGGTACGTCATAAGAGTGGATTTAAAAAATTCTGCTTACTTGCAACCTCTTATACTTAATGGGAGGGTATTCCATAGTTTTGGGGCAATAAAGGAGAAAGCTTGCTCCCCATATGGCAGCGGAGCTGTAACAGTAGTTCTTAATCAGACGAACGTAATGTCCTTTATGGTTTATAGTGAATTAAAAACTGACAGGCACTACCACTGTATTTTTGTTTTTAAAGGAAACTGTAAATCAAATAGTTAAAATAGGGGTAAAAATTAAAGCTTAATCGGCCTCTTTCACTTCCTGCCAAATTCATGTTGGAGATAATGACGACACGCATGACCCAAAATGGCGGCTAACGATATTTAAATGCACTTTTTGAAGCAAGGACCAGCTTACAAAAAAGAAGGACCGGATCCTAATGAAGGATCTAATCAGTAATAAGTGAAAATATAAAACAATAGAAGCAAGGCTGATTTTACAGTCGGGAATATCGTTGAAGTTGCCTGATGAGTGTGGTCCTACAATTTCGGACCAAACGAAACAGCGCTGTCGCAATAAACGATCAATGATTACTCCTGAAACCTGAACTTTTGTGATTATTAATAATATATATTTTTATTAATATTTCGGAAAGCACGGCCTTCCTTCTTCTGAAGAAGGAAGGCCGTGTCTTCCGAAATATTGGTAAAAAATATACATATATATTCCCGAGTGTAAAATCAGCCTTGCTTCTTTTGTTTAAACGATATTTAACAATTATTCCTCGAGCCCGAATAAGCTCTGAGTCAATGGCCCATGAGGCCGAGGGCCGAATGGGCTATTGACTCAGAGGCCATGAGGACGAGGGGAATAATTGTTTTAGTAGAATCCAACTGGTTGGTCAAAAATATCGAGAATAAAAAAATTTTAGCTAGTTAAAGCAAGACTTTAGTCCTTTTTTGCCGCCAAAAAGCCCGCGCTTTTCGGTATCAGTGGGCTAATACATATAGCCTAGTAGCAGGGGGGTGAGGGGGGGGAGGTGTCTCCAAGGAAATCTATGATACAGTCCGCCTGCCAGTATGACAGGATAATAATAATATGATAATTGGCTTAAGCTCGTATTTCCAAGCTATTCCGCATTATTTCGGGTTCAACGGGCCGACTCGATGTAGGTAATCGATCGAACCACAATCCTGGACAAAACTACTCGAGAAAATGTTATTATTAATGCGCACTACGTAACGCAACAAAACTATTTCCAAATCAACGGCTTTGCGTAAAGAAAACGCCCTCCCCCAGTTCAAAGTTGCCTCCTACAAATGCTTAGAGATCCGGCTTTCTTTTGAAGACCCAACAACACTGCTTTCATCAGGGGGAGGGGGAAGGGAAGAATCGGTCGGCTACCAAGTTTAGAAAAAATGCCCCCCAAGTATGCAATTTTCTCAACAAGATTGTAGCTTTACTGAATTTGGTGAAGAATTAGGAGATCAACAGAGACCCACACTCGAAAGGAATGATATGAAGTTAGGCCCATTAAATTAGCAAAAGAATAGATGAAATATAAACATGCAAGATCTGTGAATGGAACTTCCTATTCTGGAGACTAGACCTTGCCTATTTTAGAGAAAAAAAAGATTTAAGTTTTGATGACCTTGCCGGTCCCGTGAAATAGATAGCGATCCCGCAACACGGCCCGCAAAACAAATTAACAAAATTATACAATCACGGACACAAATTATCAAAACGGTTTACACAACCAGATTATAGAAACACCAAGGCTCATACACATTCGATCAAATTAGCGATATATAGCGATATTTGCTAGCTTCTTAGCTTTTCCTCGACCTCGCTCGTCCAAATAACTGTCGTATCCGGCTTGCTAATTTGCACAAGCGACACGAGGCTCTTGCCCGTTACTATGTGACGTCATACTGGCAGGCGGAGTGGGTCAAGAAACTTAGGCGGAAAACAATAGAGCTACCTCCCCCCTTGCCTAGTAGTAACTCAACCAATCAGAACGCAGCATTGATAATAGACCACTAGTTGGATTTTACTAAACTGTGTTAGACCATTCCAAGTTTTTTTTTCAACTTTTGACATAGAAAATCCGTCAATTCCGAACGAAAAACATGATGAACATGCAGGGAAAGAGTATGGAAATTCGCTATTAATTATTGATAACGCGGCTCGCTAATTTGAATATCACCATAACATTTATTAAATGCTCTGCTGGACCTTACGGCCAGTTTAACCAGTCTGCATCGATCAAAGAGCACCTGAATCATTAAAAACCTTTTTGCAAACGGCAAATTTGGAAAATGTTGGTTATTATAGAGAGAAGGAGGCTTAATTTCCGCCCTCGCTACGATATTGTTACTTTTAAAACGTCCTTCCCCATGCACACTTAATAATTTAATTAACTACTAATTTTTTATTCAAGGTAAAAACATCTGGAAGTTTCCAAACGTGTCTTATGTAAAGCTCTGGATCTTTCCTTCACATGACTGAGTACGCTTTAGCTGGTGATTATGCTAATGTTTAGCGAGGAGGCGCTACAATTTGAGGGTTTTAAGATCTTTAAAGGACAAGTTGAGTTTTTTAATGATTATTTTTCAGATATCTTTTCTGCATTTAGTTTGAGCCTTGTCAACCTTAAATGAAACCCGGAACATGTAGGAATCTCTTCTTGCTTGCCTATCACATGCCGACTGCTCGTAACAGACTGGGTAATTTCTTCTGGCATGAGCTGTAGAAAACACCATCCGTCAAACAAACGCAACTTTAACTTGGTAATTCTTCTTGGGCAAGAACTTATTCATAAAAGACTGTTTACATAATTTGAGTATGGAAAAAGAATGACAGCTTTTTTCGAGCATGCTACTTAAGTTAGTTATGATATCGGGAAATTCGTACATAGCGTGTTTCGCTTAAAGCACAATCTAGCTTATCAAAAACTGAATTAACAATTGGCAGAAAAATGCACTCATCCGTCCCATTTATTTTCATAGTTTTAACAAATGGATTCTACATCCAAAAATTTTGAAATAAATTAATTTCATGGCCTAAAGGTAAACATAGTGTAGACGCCGTTTTAATTATAAACTTTTAGGTGGACAAATTATATATTCAACCTGGTTGTCATAAACTTACTAGACAACAAAGTTTATTCAGTGGCTTCCGAATATCTTACTAAACTTTTGTTTGTGGCTCGTTCGCAATTAAAGCTGTATTAAGATATTTCTACATTAGAAAACCTTTATACAGTTGTAGGGGCAATGACAGGTCGATAGTGTTAGGAAGACATATCGAACATGCTTACCTTTTTTAGGTTGACAGTCCGTGTTTTGAGCTCTGGTTGGCTACATCAGAAAACAGAGGGTTAAGAAAATGTAGGATGATGTCTATGATCAGTGATAAAATATGACATAAACAAACATTTTCAAACCTCTTCGCTACGTAGTAACACGATGAAAGCCAGAAGGAACTTTGCTTTGATGTCAGATTTCATTTCTCTCTGATAGTTATTTTAGTAGAGGAACCTTTTTCTAACAGCGCCTTTAAAACCATCCCTTTTCGATGACTGGATAAATGTCACTATGTTATTTATTATTATCTGTCAACATTGGCACTTTTAAGCGATCTCTTTAAATATTCATCACGCATCCCCTTTTAACTGTCAATATTTACAAAACATCAGGCAACAAATAATATTATAATACCAAAAAGTACAATATTCTCGAAATATTAAAAAACCGTCACAAGTTAAGGGTAGATTGTAGCATGTCAAGTACGTCTCGGAGAACAAATATAATTTATTCAAAAGGAGTTTTCACGATTCATCTTAGGTCTTCGTGAAACTATAGAATCAGCAATTCACGTGAAGTATCAAATAATACTTTACGATCTCGTTACCATCGGTCGAATCTTTCTTGTGTTAACCAGGCGAAAATATCAACGTTGAAATTGAATACCATAATTTTTGGGGGGTATAACAGATCCAGATCTTCCCCTAAAGGTTGATTTCCACTTACGTGTTTTTGGCTAGGCACGTTAACGCACGTAAAATGAATTTTAATCACGTAAATAAAAAACAGGCAAGATAAAAGGGTGAACTTAAACGAGAAGTCGAGCGAAGTTCAAATTTTACGGTTACGAGCGACCTTTCATGCATTGCCTCATTTTTATTTGCGGACGTAAAATTTACGCACTTACGCACGTAATAATTACATGACACTGGAAATCAACCCCAAGACTTGCTCGCTTCTGGAGCATACGTTTAAAGAACGTCTTACGTGAAATTGCGCTACGTGCAAGAGGAATCGAGGGTTAAGGTGTACAGATTAAGACTTTTTCTCCTAATACATTTCTTTCTCCTCAACGGTCGAAATTGAACAAAAAGGTTTATATTATAATAACTTCAGAGGCTGACAGCAAGGTCGGGGATTGCGTAAAAACAGTGCGATATTGGCCATTTTCAACGTCCCAAGAAGGGTAATCCGTCATCAAACTCCGTGAAAATTAACGAATAAACAGACGGATAAAGTCGGGATAGATCATTATTCGTCCAAAATTAAAACCGCTCCGTTTTCCCCTTAATAAGGCTGATTATCCGTCTCATGCGAATTATCCGAGGGATAACCCGTCTTGGGCGGGGTTGAAAACGACCATTGTCCTCTATTGTAGCAACACTGTGTAGTACCTCTGCCTTCATACACATCTTTGACTTTATAAACCAGGAGTAGTTAATCGATATACCGATAATCGATAACAATCGTTTGTAATCGATATCAATAATCGATAAATATCAATTTTCCATATCGATCGATAGAAATCGATAAGGAAAAAGAGTTGTGACTTCTATTAATATCGATTTCCGATAGAAATCGATTATGATTGATTTGAGTCATTCGGTAGCATTTCTGTACGGTATTATTCATTCCTGATGTTAGGCAGTTTTTTTTTAACTGATAAAATACTGAAAAGATTTGTACGCACAGTGACATAGTCATAACGGCTTTCGCCGAGCCAAGCACGACGATTGCAGTGATCTGGAGGTTTTGATAAACGCCAGTGCGTATACCACATTAATTGGTTTCAAATGTGAGCGAGATTACAAGGAAAGACTGGAAATGCAAGATGCTGACGAGGGCGCAGGAGTGAAAGGACATTTAAAGATCTTTTAAAACAAAGGAAACAAAAAATGGAACGCTTTGAAGACTACGCCTGGAGTAGTTGCTGCACTCAAAAATATAATTTGGTATAGGCTTATTAAGTTGGTCTCGTGGGTGCTGTTTGCCAAATAGGATCGTCATGTTCAGAGTATCTGGACCTCATACTCCTCAAGATTATCACTTATTATCGATTACTATCGATTGTTATCGATTTTTGTTCATCGCTAATAATTGCTGCCGGACATTAGCCGGTAGCAGGCCATATTCTTGAGCAGTGTGAGAATTTTGGTTCAATGGTTCGATGGTCCAATCAATCTGTGACTGCAGCGCGGTGCAGTCAGCGGTTTGTCTAAGCAAGTGCTTAGCTGTCGTGCCTGTTTTTCTCTTAGTAGCAACCCACTATTTTGTTTTGTTCTCATGTAAGATCTGTGCAGAAATCGTTGTCCATGGGATGTTTGCTCTCTTTTTAAACGGTCAAGAAGTGCTGTACGGAACATTTTTTTTCGTTTTTTCTTTTTTATTCTAGGTTTCAAGATTAGTTATAGCGAGTATTCTTTTGTCACACAGATTGTTATCTCGGGAACAAGGATTGTAACTTACATAAGTGAACGGCATGTGCTGTACGTCTACCTGACCTGTGAATAAACAAGTTTTGGCCTTTACGTTATTTGTTCACAACTCTTCTCGTCATGTGTACGATGATTGTTCGATGACGAAACAGCCTATCAGCACTGCTGTTGTTTTAGAATTTAGTGAATTATTAAAACGAATTACAGAATCATATTGAAACTTTAGTGAGTTATCTAAATGTAAGCATGCATTGCATTGTGATCGGTTCAGTTTTGGTATTTTGCTCAGAGCGTTTCATAATTCCAACAAGTCTAAGTTATTAACTTTAATAAAAAAATTCATATGTTAAACTGTTCTACATACTGTCTTTGTCCTATTCGCATCGCAACTAACGGTAGCACTTCCCTTCTCAACGAGACCTTCTAGTCAATAAACTGATTTTTCTGTGACTTCGATTTCTATCGTTTGCGATATCAATCAAAACCAATCGGCGGATTAAATCAATTGATACAGGTTATATTGATTGATTTCCGATATCGATTTCAATCGATTAACTACGCCTGGTTATAAACAAAGAGACAAGCTCAAAATTTTGAGGTGGCATACAAATAAATTAAAGTGACGAACATATGAGAAAGCCTACATTTACAGCTCTTTCCTTGTTGTGTGTATTTCCCTTCTGAGAACTGTTCATACCTTCAAATAAACAATCACCAAGAAAAATTACTCCTTTATGAAGTACGTGTCAAGCATAAGTTTCACTGTTTCTAACTTCATTACAATTTTTATTTCATCTTGTATTTCAGCAGTCGAGTCGGGATCAATAGGGAGCTAAAGCGACAACGACAGCGGAAAACGTCCGGCTATAAAAAGTGAAGTCGCGCTACCTCAAACTTTATCTCGCTTATTCCATCTCGTTTAATTCGTCAAATGTTGGCAGATTTTTTTAGAGTGAATTTTAAAGGCCTGTATCAAAGTTCAGGAAAAGAAAAAGAAACTTTGTTGGCTTTGTTCACGTCCTCAACAAAACGTGAAATCAAGCACTCTCACGTTGCAGTCGTGTAGCGACGGCCAAGAGATGTACAAAAAAACGTGCAAAGTTGTTGCCTTGCCAATCTAAACCTATTGCTTTTATTGCCGTTCTCGTTGCCGTCGCCGTCGTCGTTGCTTAAGCTCCTTAATAATAGGGAGGTGGGTTCATTGGTCAATAATGGAAGTCACACAATTTTTGATGCGTTCTGTTATTCTGGATACAGCATTTCAAGTTGTTAAACTATTGTAGGTCCTTCTCACCAGCTAGAGGGCAGGTCCAGGAAGTTTAATGGGGGGGATTGGGGGTGGGGCGAGACGGTGTTTAAACTGTTGCACACAAATGAAACTGTTTTAAAGTTAATTATTGGTACTCTAACTTGCTGTTACGCATGAATTTCGTTTAAAAAATTCAACTAAACAGTTTTTTTTATAGAAACTTCAGTGGTACAAACTTCTTTTTCAATCACCAAAATGAATGCGAAGGAGGCAGCTTGGCCAAGTGGTCAGCGCGACTGACTCGCAATCCGGCGGTCTCAGGTTCGAGTCCCGCTCTGGCCACTCGCTGGATTTGTTATCGGTCATTGGCCCGAGTTGAAATCCTCGGCCACGCTTGTAAATACTGGCCAACTGGTTGCCTCGTGCCAGTTGGGGTTTTTAATCCTGTTTGTTCTACTTGAATTATTTGTTTTTAAGTATTTTAGTGGAGTGCCTGCCAACTAGCTGGATAAGCTAAGTGCACTTTCGACTATAAAAAAACCTTAACGAAATATCGCAGACATGCATCGTTTTTTGTAGCCTGTGTACAGCCGCCCCTTCCCTCAAAAAAATCGGCTACGTTTTTTGTTAAATGTGATTTGTGAATTTATGGAATAGATTTAAGTTTTCCCTGGGCATTAATGTTACTGTTCGGCACTGTCACGTGGAACGTTCTAATACTATCTGGGAATGTCACAAATAATGCAGGGACCTCAGTAACTGACAAGGCACCGCGAGACCAGTGCAAAAGTACAGGTTTACGGTCCCAAGAGTCGAAGGAAAGGTGACAAAGTCGCAATCTAATGCAGATAAATCTGGCAATAAATGATAGCTTCAAATACGATCAGGAAGCAAAGAATGACATGAAAGATTCGAATAATTATATCGGCATGCGAGGATATATGTACTTACATAAGTAAGGCGAAGGATCATTTGCAACTTGTGTGCAATTTCTGTATAGTACTAACCACGCGTTGCTGGGGGAAATTTCGAGATAATTACTGGACCACTGACATTGCCACTCATGATAAGGTCCCATGTGAATTTCATCTTGTACACATTTAACTTAAAGCAGGAAAAAATATGAATATAAGAGAAGAACTATTCATTGAGTTGTACCTTAAGTAATGATTTTCTTTGTACTTCAGTGCCGAGATGGAGATTGACAAAGAAACTTAGAAAATTACCTTGGCACAAATCGACCTCATTTCCAGGCCCTCTCTCATTTTCCTCCCTTGTCATCGAGTAAAGAAATTCGGCAGAGACCCTGGTTAGACCTGATCATGTGACCACCTTTCCCATTCAAAACCGCACTTATGGGTCGGTCCTCGATCAAATTTTGTCGACAGGATGATTACATACTAAAAAGCTATCGAGGGGAGAGTGAAGTTGAACAGTTGTATTTTCAAAATGACGCTGTGTTCAGAAGGGGCTGCGTTCGGCTCCTTGTCGATGTTGTGGCAGTCGCTGCAGAAGTTGCTGAGGCATTCTTCGACTTTTGATCATTCACGGGAGCCGAGGGTGATATCTCAACTTCGGGACGTGAAAACACTTAGAAGAATGTTTCTCTCTCTTTGTAAACTTGGATACGGTACCCAAGAATTTAACTCCAGGAAAATTCACCTACATTTGACTTTTTATACGAGTTGAATAAAGTCGCAACAAGTTTGAAAACAAACCCGACTATATTTTGATAATAACAATAAAAAGACTCTGTCGCTGCAGGCGCTATCGTCTTTGCAAAATCTCCCTAATTAGCGCGAAAACACCTGCTGTTACTCTGTGACGACAGGATAACCCTCCATCCTGACATACTAAATTTGTCACACTGGTAATGAAGACACTCTGCTACTCTGCCCTTTAAACAGTTTTTACCCCGCCCCGAATCTGGGTGGTCACGTTGGGAGAAAAGGCAGAAACGGGAGAAAGAGCCTGGACCAAGGTTGGGATTTTAAAAGGTAGACGTCAAGGTAAGACAAAACAAAACAAAAACTGTTGGGAGCCTTCTAATTAAAGAAGGAAACAAAACGGAAACGAAATTTTACAACAACATTTGCCGCGTTGCATTCATCATTAGTGGTGATTAAAAAAATCTCTGTATATTATCTCTTGCTGACTTTACAGTTTATGATACCTTTATGATATATCTCTGTCCGGTTACCAGCTGTAATTGTGGCCTCGCAGCAGGGTGAAAGTCCTTGTTGCCTTGTCTTGTGTGCCCCCATGATTGAACAGTTCAAGTCCAATATTCCAAATTTTCCTCGGCAAATCCAAGAAGTATCATTTTTATACGAACCAGAGAGACTTTTCTTGTTCACGCACTTTCCTTAAAGAAAATATGACAAATGTCAACCTTGAGGCATTTTTTGTCGAAAACAAAACACATTTGGTCTGCCTCACATGATCACATTTGACTAGCTAACAGTTGTCCATATGCCACAATTGATCACTAAGAGACGCAGTGAATAGTTATCACCACTAACAATAGTCTAGTTGCATTTACTCAAGTTTTAAAACCGTTCTGCCTGATTTGGTCGCCTCCTTGCAACCACCTCGACCATCGCTTTTTCAGTTTCATTTCTTTCTTTTAATGTTTAATATTCTGCTAAAGAGGACGTTTAATTCATCTTTTGCATCTGTCTTGAACACCCTCTCAAAAGCTTTTCAGAACTAAATGTGTTTAATGAGGGTATAAAAAAGCTGGACCATAAATAGGCCGTTACGAATCCTTGGTTTCAGTTTCACTAAAAACGCCAGGGTGTGAAGAATTAAGATTAACTACATTGTGCTTAAAAAAAACAAAAAACCAGCGGCCATGTTGACCTTATGGCCAACTTTCAATTTCAATCAGCTTTGGATTAAATTTTTCATAGATTATTCATATTACATGGTGAGAGACTTAAGATTCGATCTTTCGACTGCGGTAAAATTAACACCAAAGATAAACTTTCAGCGTTCAAAGGAGAATTTTTAAGCTCACTTGCGTCCTACCTGTGGAAAATTCTTCACAATTTCTCTTTCTTGATGGAAAGCTTGTGATCTGAAATGTGGCATTTAACAAGTAACTCATCTTGTAAATCCTAAGTATTAAAAATGCTGTTAATCATTAAAGGTCTTACCAATGTTCCAAGTAAAATGATAAGTAGGAGCAGAGACCAGAGTTTTATACCCAGCATTGTTTTGTGAAACGTCTGTGAAGGCAATCTAGGTGCAAATACAGCGCATCATGAATGATTAATTAATAACTAAATATATTCAGCATAAATACAAGCTGTGAACCGCATTAACTAAATTGCGTTTAGGTTTCAGGTTTCTATATTAAAGTATTGAATTCAAGGCCTCAATTATGACAGGCCAGGAGCGAACAGTCTCACATTCAGTTCAACATTCTTTTTGGTCACGTGTTGTGGTTAGGCTATCTTTTTATCTCAGAAACGATCTTTCGTTTGGATTAAGCTTCCTTTACTTTTTTTTTAAAATAATTTATTCTTAGACAGGAAATTAGAATACAAATTTCAAAAACAGACAACACTTAAAGGGCAATAAAATTTAAATAAGCATAATTCTGACAAGGCTCATCTCCGGTTAGATTGGAAAAAATCTCTCCTTGCTTCTAAATGCAACTGTAACCCTTTTTATTCAATAGCAGCGAATTAAAATCGACATTTTTTCCTTCCATTCAATTTTTTTTATAATGGTTTGTAAGGCGTGACGTCAAAGACATGCAATGTGTTGGTGTCATCGTTATTTGTTATTAACATTTTCAGTTCTTTGTCGGCTGATATTAAAATAACAACTTTTATCAGCGTTATTTCAGGTAAATATAAAAAAAGATTAATTTGATGTTCAAGTTAAGATGGACTAGATTTTCGATCAATAGGCAGCAGCTGGGGAATTTTATGATGCCGTGGTTCTGAGTAGTTGCGTGGAGCTGAATATTATCTAGCAAACTGCGATGTTTTACTTTATGAGAAGACCAAAGGCAAGATTAATTGGTAGATTAATATAGTAGCTTTCCAGTTTGTAATTTGGTTTAGGTACATCTTGAGCCCTTAAGCGCTTGACCAGACGTCCGAGAACTCTGTGTAGCACACAGTTGTGAGTGGCCCATGGCAGCTGACCAGTCAAAGCTACCAGGTCTGAGGCTTCAGGAACAGCCGCCACATTATGGTCATAGAACTGGTAGTTGGATCTTTTCTTGGTCATATAATTATGTATCCTAGTGTTGAACTTTTTGCCATCAGTGCACCGAATTGTGACTGCAGAACGAGTCCTCCTGCGGGGAGACGGCAGAACATATAGAGGTGCTTGCTGTCGCCTTCGAACAGGGCGATGCCAGACCCACGCTGACTGTATCCAGAAATGCAGTTAGCGTAAACTAAGAACAGCAGTGGGCCAAAAATAAAACCCTGCAGTACTCCAGATAACAAAGGTGGCCAACTGGAGAATGCATAATCCAGGCCAACGTGCTGACAACTGTCCGAATGGTACCTTGAGAGCCACTGTAAAATGGAGCCTGACACGCTGATAGGTAATGTGGCACCTTTTGGAATCATGCTTTTAAGAGGTCAATGTGTACGACGTCGCCCTCCCGGCCTACAACCAGTAAGTCCAGGGTTTCGTGGTAGACTTCCAGGAGGGTTAATGTAGTATTAATCGCAGGAAACCAAGATGATAGACGCAGAGAAGGGAATTCAGTGTATAATTCATAATGATAAAGAAAGTAACTGTAAAAACCGTAAACGAAGATCCTGCTGGCTGTCAACGTTGGATCTCCGGAAAAGAGATCTAATCAGCTAGAATATTAAGAACCAATATTCTATATAGATGGAGAATGTCGCAATAATATTTTAATTCCTATCATAAATTCAGTAACATCAGTAAACCTCAAGAAGGCTGGTATGGCCAGCCGAAATATTGTTAAGAAAAAGCATATAAACGTTGTTATGATCAGCTTTCCAGTAGTCTTTAGATTTCTCGTTTTTTGTATAATTCATAGCCAGGGTGGGGTCGTCCTTTTTAAACACCGGCGAAGCATGAGAAAGTTTGCAGTTTACAGAAAACCCAGCAACAGGAAAAGGTGAAAAGTTGACTCAGAGAAGGTTCTTTTTCGGAAGCTGTTCTTTTAAAGTAGGGATCCAGGAATTTTATCCGGCCCACAAGCTTTATTGGGAATAAGACGGCAGGCGCCTGGGAATGAGTCACATGAGGCTGTCATCTCTTCCCAGGGACTGGGAACTAGGTGGTAGAGAAGTAGAAGCTGGGCTGATTACACAGTGTGGCAAAAACTTGATCAGCAGGTTTGCTTTATCCCTACTATTTCTCAGAATTTTGCTTCAACTTCATAACGTTCTAAGAGAGTGAAAAACAATCTTTAAATTTCAAAGCATTTCAATTAGTTCAAACAGACTTCAGTGTTTCTTCAAAATCTCGCGTCTGTGGTATGAAAATAAGATTAATGAACAATAATAAGTGAAAAAAAAAACGCGACTTGTAGAATAAACAATGGAAACCGTGCTTTTTAAAATGGATTCCCCACTATGTTTTTTTTTTTTTGTGATGCCTTTATGTAGCCGCAAAGTTTGTTGGGGGAGTTCAGTGAAAAGCAAACAGTCAGATCAAAACCAAGAACACCAATACTAAATATAAATAGGCCCTAATGTACGAGAAACGTATTACTGGAGCTGTAACAGACGCCTGTGACAATATTGCTTCCATGGTTGAGCTATGGTTGATAATTACTTCTCTAGCTGCAAATTAAATCAAGCGGTTTGCACCTTTCTGTACGACAAATATTGTCCGCGTAGAAGTAGTAGTATCAAGATAAAATCGATCGCGTAATAGATGAGCGTGAATATTTTGTTCATCAACTGCCAAATCTGGAAACCGATTTGGGAGCTCTCTTCGGAAAATAAAAGTCTGCCGGAAACAAGCGCAAGATCGTAGTGTAGAAATGACTAAACAAGCCGCCGTCTTGGGTCAAGAACGTGCTAAAAAATGCGCCTGGTTACCAAGCATCAACATGCAGTTCAAAACGATCAATGCCAGATGATATATTTCGAATGCAAAATGATTCGGTCGTCGTTTAATGCCAGCTTTAGAAGATGCAGAAGTCATTGAAAAACCGATAACACAGAAGAGGATGAGGAGCTAGAGCTTTTAGAGCTTTAAAAAATTTGACTCAATTTTGTTTTGCTGCCCAACTGATTCTCGGTTTTAAAACACACCCCGAAATTACAACAGATTTTATTCACAAAATGCTGGGCCTCATAAGCGAAAAATACGGTAATAGCAAATGACACCATAGAAAAAGGTCGGAATATAGCATTCGGATCAAGATCGAAATATTTATTTAATTTATTGGCTTTTCTTTTCTTGAAGGTCTCACTGGATCGACAAACGAGAATATAATGTCATCTTTATTAATTAGCCGGAAAGTCCTATTTAATAGCACACACAAAAAAAATCCGCGGCAAAATACACAACATTACTTTAAAGAACTTACTTTTTTTACTTAGCTTTCTTCGAGGCTTTATCATCGATGAACAACAAATTCAATTTTCTTTCAACTGAGTTTAAAATCTCCAAAATCGACCCTCTTTCACACTTTTTTCAGTGAGCATGTTCAGTATTTTATTCTTGAGAGAGTCTGTTTAAGTCAATTCTGGATCTATAACACCTTAGCTTATTTGATTTGTTTTAAGAGAAGTTGAATAGCAGCCTCCCGTCGGCTTTCGAAGGCTTTTGCTACGACCTATTTGCAAGGCTAATTCATTTTTAGTACCCCTAGCATATAATTATTGTTTTGCAGTGTCCGCATCCACGAAACATGCATGTGTAACTGTGAAAACTTTGTTCTTAGCTTCAGTTTTCAAATAAAACCGGGTACCTTGACTCTTGTTAAATAAACAAGCATGTTTTTTTTATCTAATTCAAAATCCGAGGCGTTTCTAATTCTTTGCGTATTTCCATGATTACATAAGTTTTTTTGAACTGAATAGATGGATCATAGAGCTTTGCCCTTGTTTGCTTTTCGTGTTGTTTAGAGAAAGCCTGCGTCCAGCGTACCATTAGAAAAGAGAGAAAACGTGCATTACTTCCCCACTCCTTTAGCTAACAAATAAGTAGGTCAAACTAATCTAAAAATTGAAAAATCCGCAAAAAGAAAGTGCCATGGAGAGATTTTATGGTGTTTAGGTTATGTTTTTTTAGGGGCAGTTTGCTCATATTCAAAAACAAACTTCATTTAAAGTTTTGAATGTAGACAGCAGCTGTGTGTACTTTCCATCGTATTACCAACTTTCTCAGTGTCTTCCATAAAAGCTTTTAATATATTTTCAAATACGGCAAGGAGGACCAGCATCCTGAAAGAAATTCGAAAAACGTCCTTTTTTCCTCTATAATACGCTGTATAAGGATATTTCTATAAATACCAGCATGATGTCTATCAGTTCTAGTTGTAAAATCTTCAAGATTTTTCATTTCATCGTTGTATTCAAGACAAGCACAAGCGAAAACGCTGCTTAAGCTTTTAATTCTGGCGAAAAGGGAAGCTTGAGAATTAACGCAAGTAGTATGATGAAAGAATGAAATGATCGCTTAAGTATGTGGCCCCCAAAATACAGTATTTTCTTTTTTGTCGTTCGCACACTGAGCACTTTGCCTTGGTGTTGGTGCAAACACATTATTTTTTGGGCTATCATTTGACAAGGTATATCTAAGCTTTACTCCTTTCTTCTCTCTAAGAAATACCCCCCGGCAAACCTTTTTTCTTATCTAAGGTAAGTTAGTCAAGTAAATCGAAACATATAGGAACACACATAACACAGTCATACCTCAACTCTCCTGCACTCGAGTTGTCTCTCTGCAGTGTTTTATTGAAGTGGAATAAATTCAGGGAAACTACGTCACCAAGATCTCATTCTTACTGTGTATACTGACATTTGTCTTTCAAATAAGGGAATTAGAAGCTTTTACCTCTGAGAAAATAGAACCGTTTTTTCAACAATTAGACTCTTAGCAGAAGTTGAGAGCCAATGA